TGTATCTGTGTGTGTGTGTGTGTGTGTGTGTGTGTGTGTGTGTGTGTGTGTGTGTGTGTGTGAAAGAGAGAGGCCTGGTGTCAGGTTACAAGTAGAGAGAGAGAGATCCCTGAACAAAACCTTATTTTCTATGTACAAAATATATATTTTTTTTTCTTTCCAACATAAATATTGATTATACATGTAAATATTTATTGGGTATTTAAGTGTAGTATTGTGTGATAATATGTATGATTTATATAAATATTTAGGGTTATAGTTTCATATTTAATATTCTATAGTTAACTTTTAATAATAGTAATATGTATGTTTAAATGTCTGTACTAAAGATTTAGAATAAAATAAAAGGATTTTAAAAGAAAATTGTATTTACATTTTTTATGAAATCTCTGTATCTCTCTCTGTCTGTCTCCCCGATCTGTTTGTCTCTATCTCTACACAAGAGCCAATTGGTTCGTTGGGGATGTGTGTGTGTGTGTGTGAGCGTGTGTGGAGGGTCTTTGAAACATCTGTCTGAAAACAGCTGTGTCCGGGGCGTCCTAGGATAGGATGTAATAAACCTGTTTAACCTTTAAACTTTTAGAGTTCTCAGCAAATCCATATGAATGGTCAATAGAATGCCCCCGGATACAAAGTGTCTCAGAACCAAGAACATCCATTCCAAAGCGAGGCTCTACTCAAGAGTGGAACACTGGCTCCACCTAGTGGATGTTCAGTTACATCATCACAGTTATAGAAAAAAATGAGGACACATCATCACAGGTACGCCCAGAACATAGCTCCTTAATTGACCAAATTAATGAGGTAACCCCTCCTTCAACACCACCCCCCACACGGCAACACACACCTATAACTCATGCAAATGAGGACACATTATCACAGGTACCCCAGAACTAATCTCCTTAATTAAACAAATTAAGGAGAGATGCCCAACCCCCACACCTCAACACACCTACCCCTTTAACTCATGCAAATGAGGACACATTATCACAGGTACCCCCAGAACAATAAATCAGATGGGGGACGGTATTGATAGAAGTGTCCTCTTTTTGTACCGCAATACATTTAACAATACAGAGATTCGTCCGTTTTTTTATTTCACCCCTATGAATCAGAGCCTTGATTATGCCGTTTTTTTATCTGATGATTTTGGATACTCTAGGAGAACTTTTAGAACATGCTACAGATTTTGCTGAACCCCGGGATGTCTTACAGCTTTGAAATATGTGGTGATAGTCTGCAAAACACATTCTCTCTTGTTTTACCTAATGGCAAAGCAGATATTGAACAATGTATAGCCCTGCTGGAACGTCTTGTTCAATCTAATTTAGCCATCATAGCTGATAGGACCTTAGAACTTGTTGTACAATTAGTCTGACAACCCATAGGCGGAGCTGGTCAAAGAAGGAAACTTGATAGTCTCATGCAATCAGAAATCATAATAAATAAGAAGACGTATCTCATAAACGTTAACAATCCCGGGTAATCAGTTATGCTTTGCAATATGAATATCATATTTACTCAATCTTGGATGTACTGATCTAGAAGCTTTACAAAAGGCTAGTGATCTCCAAAAGGCTGTAGGTCTATGTATGCATGAGCCTGTGGCTTTCTCTGACATAGTCAAATTTGAAAATTTGCTGAACATCAAGATTGTGGTTTTATACCATAGTACGGCTAATTCGGCTCTCTTGAAATTCCAGAACAGCCCTCAGCCTCATCCTCATCCTCATATTCTGTACTTTTATGTGCAAAACAAACATTTTTTTTGGTATTACCAACATCAGAGCTTTCTTAGGAGCTCCCTATGTTTGTCCATCATATCATTCAGGCTACACCAGACGGGGGGGGGGGGGGGGGGGGGCACTCTTGTCATCGTACATGTCGTTCCTCCTACTGCTACAAAAAACACAAACTTGAAACATGGCATCCCAAGGCATGTAAATCTGTCAGCTGGTGTGACCTCAACAAGAAATGTCCAAAATGCCATCGCAATTACAACCTTAAAATAGACAACCCCCAACCTCACATATGTGGTATCCTACACTGCCCTATATGTAAAGGGCCTTTGAAAAGCAGAGACCCCGAAGTGGTTCAAGAAGTGGAACATGAGTGCTACATTCAACCATTGGATGAAGATGAACATTCAGAGAAATATGTGTTTTATGACTGAGAGTAATCAGCAATCAGGGGTTCACCTGCCTATTTTTGTATCTACCATGACTTTCAAGGGTGAAAAGTGGTCGGCAGAGGACCCCAATTGTGCACTACTCTTTCTAAAACATTTCCGAAAAACCCCAGTACAAAAACCCCAGTACAAAAACCCCAGTACAAAACAATTCCTATGATTCCTATCTTCTTTTGAACCCCTTGATACAACAAGGTGTTGCACCCAGTGTCATAGCCCAAGGTAGTAAAATGTTGTGTTTTGTAGACCCAGCCTTCAACCAGAGATACATTGAAAGTTTAAGTTTCTTACCCATGAGATTGGCTCAAATGACAGAGGCTTTGGGTTTTGAAAACTCTTTGAAAGGATGGTTTCCTCATTTCTTCACATCTGAGGAGAATCTACATTATATTGGATCTTATCCTGGTCCCGAAATGTACGGGTGTGATCAAATGTCTCCCAAAGAGAGAGAGAGATTCATGACTTGGTATAAGACAGTACGTCATAATACCTTTGATTTCCATAAAGAGATGGAAATATATTGTGATAATGATGTGGTTATACTGCAAGAAGGATGCCTCAGATTCAGAGAAGAGGTAATCAAAGTTGCCTACATTGACCCCTTGAGTTGTACAACTATTGTATCGGCATGCATGAAAACCTATCGTACACACTTTTTACCTCCAGCCTCTATAGCTATTCCGTCACCTGACAACTACCGTAGACAATACAAGTCATACTCTAGCGGCTCCATTCAATGGTTGGGGTATTTGTCCCAGGCTAAAAACATTTTTATTCAACATGCTTTGAATTAAGGTGAAAAAAAGATTGGACCCTACCATGTAGATGGTTACACACAGATTGACGGTGTTGAGACAGTGTTTGAGTACAACGGTTGTTTCTTCCACGGTTGTAAATCTTGCTTTTTTCCCCAGGCAATGTGTGTCTTACCCAAAATACTTTTGGGGATATGTACCAGGAGTTCCAAGACTCTTTACAGGCTGCTTATGGGGTGAAAGGGAAGGTGATGTGGAAGCACGAGGGGACAGAACTCAAAAAGTCTGATCCTCATGTTCTAACTTTCCTTTCCACCTTTGACATACCCCAACCCCTGGAGCCCCGCCAGGCCTTGTTTGGGGGTCGTACCAATGTTTTGACCTTACGTTTTATAGCGCAACCTGATGAGAAAATGTGATATATAGATTTTACTTCCCTTTATCCTCATGTAATGAGTTCCTCGTCATCCTATGGGACATCCTGAAATTATTCACCGTGATTTTGACTTACCACAAAACTATTTTGGTTTCATAAAAGCAACTGTTTACCCTCCCCGGGGCTTGTTTCTGCCAGTGTTGCCTTACAAGGGACCTCAAGGAAAACTTTTCTTTCCCCTTTGTCGAACCTACAGTGAAAACAACAACCAGGAAAAGCCTTGTGAACATATTCAGATCAAGAAAGAGCCCTGACCGGTGTATGGGTCACCGTTGAATTCTCTAAGGCTATAGAGAAGGGGTATCGTGTGGCTAAAATCTTTGACGTGTGGAACTTTCCCAGGAAATCAGACAATCTTTTTAAAAAGTACATCAAGACCTTCTTGAGATGCAAGCAAATGGCTTCAGGGTATCCTGCATCAGTCACTGATCAAGAGCGCAAAGACAGATACATTCAGGACTATCGTGAAAAAGAGAGCCAAAACCAAAATAAATGTGTCTAAGCTATTCCTGAATAGTTTGTGGGGGAAGCTATCCCAGAGAAGCAATATGTTAACAACATCTATCATTAAAGATCCCGAAGAATGTATGGCATTTGTTTTTTCAGACCAATATGGAATTTCACATTTTTCGTTCTTGAATCAAGACATAGCTCTGGTGCAATGGAGACGTAACAAGAAGTGGGTTCTACCCCCTAGTAATGGAAACGTGTTTCTTGCAGCTTTTACCACGGCCTATGGGGGACTTGAACTATACACCCTCATGAACCAGCTGCAGAGTCGGGTTCTTTACCATGACACAGACTCTGTGGTCTATGTAACAAACCTGGTGATTGGAACCCCCCTCTTAGCAACTATCTGGGTGGTTTAACAAGTGAACTCGAAGATGGTGACCATATCATAGAGTGGTCATCCTGTGGACCCAAAAGCTATGCTTTTAGGACTGAAAACAATCACGTAGTGTTGAAAGCCAAAGGCGTGACACAAAACTATGAAAATGCCCAGCGTGTAAACTTGGAATCAATCGCACGCTTAGTCAAGGTTTTTATAAAATGACCGAAATAGTGTATTAGAAATGTTTTACTCCTACACAGTAAAATCACCAATGTTAAATTCACAGTGACAAAAGTGATCGACTCCCATAGAGTTGTTTTAACAACTGGCAGTGCCAAATGACCCTTAGCATCAGTGCTGATAACTGGTGTTAATTGCTAAGGTATAACATTTTACTCTATTAGTGTAGACTTTTACTCAGTAAGTGTAAACATCACAACCCTAACCATAAATTCAGTTTCTGCGTTCAAATTTCCTATTTTCTCGACGCCATTGTTGGATCAACAAAATCCTAATTTGTTCCACGCAAAGGTGAGTTTTAAACAATTATTTCACAGATATGATTTAACTATTTTACTTTAAATACTTGATACTTGGTTGTCAGACTGCAGTGTAACATAAAAAGTCTAACAGTTTTGATTGTGTGTGTGCAGCTAACATTAGAGTTACTTGCGTTTCACTTTTTGCACATCTTCACTAGATAGCTAGCATGCTAGCTAACTAGCTCGCCCTTGTCCAGTGCAGTTAGTTTGCTCCACTTGGTGGTTACATGGGCGTGTCTCATAGACCATGAGCAAGGCCACTCAGGGAGCTGAACTTCAGGAGCTGATCCAGATCGCAGAATCTGCAGTTGATGAGGGAGCTGACACGAATGCTGACGGTTAGATTTTCATAATGTATCATTTATATTTCAAATAACTCTGAAATGTAAATGTCACTGATGATGGAATTTACCATTTTAATCAGGATCTCTTCTTTGTTTAGGATGGGACAGTGACCTTACCTCCATCCTTCTCCTGCCCCATTTGATTCCTCCGTCATCACAAGGCCGCAAAAGACCAGGCAAGATGTCTGCCTCCCAAGCTGAACAGCATCTTGTGATATTCCAAAAGGTTTGTATTGCCATTCTTATTCTTGGACAGTGCTGCAGCCGTTATGATGAACTAATGATGGTGTTCCTTTTGGTCATCTTCAGGCAGGAACCAGTATCCAGGAGCACCTTGATGCGATTGACCAGAGCCGCCAACCATATCTTTTTGCAGTCGGGACCAGGAAGAGCAGAATCCATGCTTTCTTCATCATCCTGGACAAGCGAGCCTTGCTGTGCAAGTCAACGAGTGCTCTTGGTGCCTTCGATGAGCTTTTCAAGACTCACTTTGTTTATGGTACTGCTTACAATACAATGCTGCGCAACCTGTACACCTTCATACAGACAACTGTGTACAACACAGCATGTTTAACTCAGGGCACAATTTAAAGATGGAGTTTACTTTGATTTGGAAGATGGACTATGTATGAAGAGACATTCTCTCTTTTCTAAAGAGAAAAATGCATTGCAAATTCAACTCTTTTATGATGACTTTGAGACTGCTAATCCATTGGCATCAAGAAAGAGTATTCACAAGTTGGGAGGTATATACTTTACTTTGAGAAATTTCCCCCCAAAGTTAAATTCCATTTTGGTAAATATTCACTTATGTGCACTCTTCCATACCCAGGACCTTAAAACATATGGATTTGATTCCATTCTAGAGCCAATAGTAAGCGATTTGAAAGTGCTTGAGACTGAGGGTATTGAAGTTCCCGTCTTCAGTGGTCGTATACATGGCAGTATTGTCCAAGTAACTGGAGATAATCTTGGTATACATTGCCTGTTTGGTTTTGTGGAATCATTTAGTGCTTGTTATTGTTGCCGTTTTTGCCTCACTGAGGAAGTGGATTTTCAAACTGTGTTCTTTGAAGATGACCCAAAAGTGACTTTACGAACAAAACACATGCACTCAGAGCATTGTCAAACTATTCAGTCAAACCCAACACTACCTCATGTGTACGGTGTGAAGCATGCTTGCTTATTGAACTCTCTGCAGTACTTCAATACTACAGACAATATTTATGTTGATATAATGCATGACATTTTAGAAGGAGTTGCACAATTTGAGTTAAAACTTGTGTTACAGTATATACAAGCCAACTTTGTGACTGCTAAAGATGTGTACGGTAGAATTCAATCATTTAACTATGGCTACACAGAGAGGAGGAATCGTCCACCTGCAGACAAATTGGATGATGGGAGCAATGATTTAGGTCTAAATGCTATTCAGTCTTGGTGTCTTCTCCGTAATTTGCCATTGATATTTGGTGATCTGGTACAGAAAGATGATAAATACTGGCAGCTGCTTCTGTTACATCTACAAATTGTAAATATTGTGTTTTCTCCTATACTAACAGAGGGCATGACTATCTATCTGAAGCACTTAATTGCTGAACATCATAGGCTTTTCAAGTATGTGTTTCCTGATAGAAATCTGTTACAGAAACACCACTTCATGATACATTATCCTCGTTGTATAAGGAATATTGGGCCCATTCTTCACTCGTGGTGTATGCGCTACGAGGCAAAACATAATTTCTTTAAAAAACAACTGAAGAGTTTTAAGAATGTCACTATGACCTTAACCAAGAAACACCAAAATTACATGGCATATAATTGGGAAACGTTCAGCCAGGATAGACCTGCTATAGGTCCAGGAAAGATGTCAAGGCTCAATGACCTGAACGAAGGCCATGAGATTGCTGCCAAGTTGAATGTCTCAGTGCACACAAATGTTTTCTCAGTTAAATGGGTAAAGCACCATGGCACAGAATATCATCTTGATTTGGTCATATGTGGTGAAGTAGTCATTGAAATGCCAGTATTTTACAGAATTAAGGCTATTGTTCTGAAAGAGGAAAATGTTTTTTTGGTTGGGTCAGCTCTTGAAACCTTATGTTTTGATGATAATTTGCAGGCATTTAAAGTTGTTTTGAAGCTAATATATTTTCCATTTACATGGGGGAAGAGTAAATAAATTAACACTGAATAGATTTAACACATTTTTACTCTAATAGGAGTCACCCTAGATCAACACTAGTGAGTGTCACTGTAACACTCAGTGTTGATTACCTCTTAGTGTTACATTTGATCAACACCGGCCAGTGTAGTGCAGTGTTAACTTTTTGCACTCCTCAGTGTTAAATCAACACTATAAATGTAACACTTTGATCAGTGTACTTTTTACTCTGTGGGACCATATGTACTCGCTGACAGTGTTAAATGTAACACTTAAAGTGTTGATTTAACACTTTCAAATTTACTGTGTACAAAAAGATTGTTAGGGATAAAAAGGGGTTCAATCTACGTAATGCCCCACTTACTAAAAGATTCCGGGTCGTCTATGACAAGAGATGACTTTTACCTGACGGGACCACCTTACCCTTTGGTTACTGACTTTATGTTCCAATCCTTTTACCTGACGGGACCACCTTACCCTTTGGTTACTGACTTTATGTTCCAATCCTTTTACCTGACGGGATCACCTTACCCTTTGGTTACTGACTTTATGTTCCAATCCTTTTACCTGACGGGACCACCTTACCCTTTGGTTACTGACTTTATGTTCCAATCCTTTTACCTGACGGGACCACCTTACCCTTTGGTTACTGACTTTATGTTCCAATCCTTTTACCTGACGGGACCACCTTACCCTTTGGTTACTGACTTTATGTTACAATCCTTTTACCTGACGGGACCACCTTACCCTTTGGTTACTGACTTTATGTTCCAATCCTTTTACCTGACGGGACCACCTTACCCTTTGGTTACTGACTTTATGTTCCAATCCTTTTACCTGACGGGACCACCTTACCCTTTGGTTACTGACTTTATGTTCCAATCCTTTTACCTGACGGGACCACCTTACCCTTTGGTTACTGACTTTATGTTCCAATCCTTTTACCTGACGGGACCACCTTACCCTTTGGTTACTGACTTTATGTTCCAATCCTTTTACCTGACGGGACCACCTTACCCTTTGGTTACTGACTTTATGTTCCAATCCTTTTACCTGACGGGACCACCTTACCCTTTGGTTACTGACTTTATGTTCCAATCCTTTTACCTGACGGGACCACCTTACCCTTTGGTTACTGACTTTATGTTCCAATCCTTTTACCTGACGGGACCACCTTACCCTTTGGTTACTGACTTTATGTTCCAATCCTTTTACCTGACGGGACCACCTTACCCTTTGGTTACTGACTTTATGTTACAATCCTTGTGTGTCTTAACCCTGAAGATACAATGGATGCTGTAGAAGGTTTTGATCCTTGGTTGCAACTACCATTTTCAGCCTTAATTGCAGGACCATCCAATAGCGGTAAAACTTGTTTTGTAAAAAGTATTTTAGAGAATTCTGAACATGTATTATCTCAGAAACCTGACAATATCGTGTGGTGTTATTCATGTTGATACAAATACATGTTGAAGATAATGTTCTGCATGACATGTTGACACATGTTCCAGCACTTAACCGGAGAAATGTTAGATACATTATGAACAAAATAAAAGACTCCAAGGGGGGCCGCTACTTGGAATGACAAAGGAGAGTTTATCTTTCAGGGGGATGTTGTCAAGGATTCTCATATGATGGACTTGCTTAAAAGTATCACTGCATCTCACAAGATTGTGGATGATAGGAGAACTCCGGGGATGGCGTCAGTTTCTTAAAGCCATGGCAGTCCTAAAGATGTTATTGGAACCCCTCCCCCCTTTGAATGGGTTAATAATACCTCCTATGTGGATGAACCCTCACCCCTGACCTCCTCCGGACCTTTTCCTAATCCTGATCTCTCAGCATGGTTAGACTTTTGAATGACTTTTGATTAAATTCAATAAATGTAATTTCAATGAAATGATACAATTTAACATTTTGTGACATTCTTTAAACATTTGACGTGAGCATACACATTGATTATAGGGTCTTAAAGGACATATACTTAAACACTTTTGACAATTTCTAACAAAACGATCTACTGTGCTATTATTACTGCTTAAATCATCATTATAAAGAGACATAAAATCTTCAAAACAAACTCCACAGGCTCTTTGACACAGGTAGAATACACAGCGTTGACCACATGTAGTAGAAAGGTTATCTTGTACTTGTTTGATGCTGTAGTAGAGCTTTGATCCATTTTTGTTAAGAAACTGTTTAATAGATGGGGGAAATGAGAAAATCCAGGGGAGGAAGCCATAGGAATCAAAAAGGTTGAGGTCTTTCTACCTCTTTCGTCATCTTCTAATGTCACAGCTAACCAATGTTCACCACGCATGTGTTTAGGATGGGTATTGACAATAAACATGGCAGGTCGATCCTGCCATTTCTCAATAGGTAGTTCATCACAAACCCATACTCCACTAAATTGTTTTCCGATCAAGCGGCTCATGAGACCTTGTAGCTCTTGGGTATTCATGTTTTGATCATTGATCCTTAATATCTTAATTAATATTAACATTAACATTCACTTCCAAGATTGAATCAGAGCATGCATAAACAATCATACTAACTGTACGATCTAAAGGTGTACGGAAGAACATTTACAGCCTGTTGGACACCACAGATAGATTTCCTGAGGTGTCTTCATCCTGTGATAAATTGAAAGCATACAATGTGTAACCCTCTGCAAAAAATCATTTCTGCCAATAGGTAAAAACAGATATTTTAGATGCCTCCCTGTAGCCAGGAATAGATTGTAAAATTCTCGCACGGATATGTTGTTATTGAATTGTGGTTGGAAGGCCTTAGCTGGGACCTGACGTCCGTCCTGACAGACAGCTACATACTCTGCATTGAAAAGCTGAAAATTAAAGGGTTTTTTATGTAAGCTGCCTGTATTAGAGGCATGATCAACCAATCCTATAACTATGTAACGGGGTAATGGGCCGAATCTAGAACTAGGCTGAATGTTGTCATGGTAATTCTTTGGAGAAGGTAAAGGGCATTTCCTTTAATCAAAGCCTGTGAGTGACCCAATCGAACGGCTGGAGATACAGACACCTTTTTAATAAAAAGCGTAGCCCCCAACACTTTTAAACTAAAGTCACCGTCTTGTGCAGCCATCAGACAAAACTCCTCCTTGGCCCTTGTTAATTTTAACCTTAAATCAACCGAATTTAAGAGTAAACGTTCTTGAAAGAAAATGTCAGAATGTATAGGTCCTAGCGGATGAAACTCTCGGGAAGCTGCACAGTATACCGCACATGCCTCCAGTCCTTTGTTTTCACCATTCGTGGGGTCCATGGATTCCATAGAAGCTCCAGCAGTATCCTTGCTAAACAGCCCAGCGCTGAATTGTGTCTTCGGAGTAGTTTAGTAAACATTCCAGGATAGCACTATAAGGATAGGTAGAACTGCTTTGACGTTCACCCAAAGTCACATCTACTTGGGAGAAGATGGTAGCCAAGAGATAATTAACGAGGCTCACCTTGGCATCATTTGCAATATTTTTCTCATTTAGCAGACGCGCTTATCCAGAACAACTTACAGGAGCAATTAGGGTTAAGTGCCTTGCTTAAGGGCACATCAACAGATTTTTCACCTAGTCGGCTCAGGGATTAGAACCAGCGACCTTTCGGTTACTGGCACAACGCTCTTAACCACTAAGCTACCTGCCGCCCCAATATTAGTCCCATCTCTTTTGGTCACTCTGAGACGTAAATGTAATAAGGTGTTGTTGAGGTCCAGGTAGTTGTCACCATGGCCTGGGATGAAAAACTATATAGGTCCATTGTCTGTAATGGCAGAGAGTGGGGCTATCTCCACATTACAGGACCTATCTATTGAAAATTGGGTTAAGGGGGTCGTGAAAAGATCGAGCTCTGTTTTTATAGCTTCAGAGGACATCTGGTGTAAAAGAGTCCATGTTGATTGTTCTTTTAGAAAACGCTTCTGAGTATTATTTTTGCAGTTTTTGGTCGAGACCTCCTCACTTTACGTCGTCTTTGACTTACTGACTTTCTTCCAGCGGTTAACCTCCGCTTTTTAAGGGCGGGCATACGTCTTATACCCGGAGGTCTCTTTTTTGGTCTTCGAGACAACAGCATGAGGCCTGAGCCTTCTTGATGTTCAGGATCTGATGACGCACGTCTAGTCATAGCATTAGCCACCACCTCACTTACTATATTTTCAGCTGCTGATTTAGAGTGAGGTTTGGCTATGCTAATGCCTCTCTTCATAAAGGGTATAACCATCCTAAAGAAGTTACGAAATATAGCCCCTATCCCCAAACCATACATGGTCTGGGTTCCATAATAACCGGGTAATCCATTACCCAGTTGATCAACATAGTATGATACATAGCGGTTAGGATCGAGATGGTGGTTGTGTACCATAACCATTTTTATTATGATTATATATAAGAAATGTTTTTGATCTGTAGAGAAGCTTTGACAGGTCTAAAGTGGAGTTTTACAATCACTTTACCATAAGTAAACTCTATATTTTGGTTCTGATCCGTTTTAATCTCAACCTGGATGTTTTCAATATATTTCTTGCTTACAGGTACGTAGTGTGGCTTGTCATAGTTAACACTGACTACATCCCCATCCTTTCCATCAATATGAACTGTTCGCAGGAGGGGTACATAACTCTCTCCTACTCTTTGATAGGATATGATGTCGGTATGCACAAACATGTTGTAAAACCCTGCATGTATATCCACAGGGTATGTGAATAATCTATCTGTCACAGCCACCCATTTATTGGGCTTCATCCCCAACATGTAGGATAAATTACCACTGGTCTGTATATCTAGCTCATCATCCGCTGTGATTTGTACACGTTTTTGAATAGAGAGGTAGGTCAACAGTAATTTCATATGGTTCAGGGCTAGGAGGCCGTTCATCTCAAAGATGATCCTCTCTACAGTTCTATAGAATCCTTTTTTAAGCTTAATAGGTTTAGGGAGTTCAGATATCCTTTTAAAATAAAAATCACGGTCCTTTTCCTTGACTTTATACCAACTATGGGGGTATGTAATCTCGCTGAGACCTACTTCCCTGGCCTCTGATAACTCTATAGGTTTTGGAAAATGGTTGGTTGTATAATCCAAACTTTTGTTATTCAGATTTATATCTGCAGATGAATTACTGGGGAGAGTCAGGTAAAATCCACGGTGCTCCATGATGCACTCCAGTGTACACTCGAATGGAAGTTTCTTTATCATGCATGAGGGTTTAAGTCTACGCCCCCTGCCTCCACTTCCTCTTCCTCTAATACCCAACTGTTGAACTTTTGGGGACAGTTGTTCCAATGGACCAACACCCATGTTTTACCATTTTCTCTCTTTTGATCCAGAATCTCCTCCACATTAAAGACTTTGTCATTACCCATCTTTACCTTCTGGAGTTCCTTCTCATAAAAGGAACCCTCTATATGCTCCCCATCATAATCTTTTAACTTGTAGACAGGAGGTATACGGGGTAAACATTCTGTAACTGTGAACAGCTCATTGCTGTAACCTTGCTCATATTTTTTGTCGAAAACACCCCTCAACTTGGAGATATGTACCAAGTCACCCACTATGAATTTAAAATCAATGTTTTTCTTACGGCGAAGGGGGAACATTCCATACAGATTCTTAAAGACTTTAAAATAGTTTTCTGAAGACACCTCAGAGGGCTTCATACATATACTCTTGTTATAGCTGTAGTTATAGCCCTTTACTAAATCTTAAACTATATCCACATATCTACGGGTGTTGTGAGCCGTATTTCCACATCCTCTCCTTCAAAGTCCTGTTAAAGCGTTCAACCACCGAAGCTTTCAAATCCGAGCCTGTAGCAAAATGTACTATATTGTGATTATTCATGAGTTTCTGAAAAGGCATATAAAAAAAACGTTGACCGCCGTCAGTCTGCACTTTCTTGGGTGTTTCTCCTTCCTCCAAGATAGAGTCAAAGGCCCGGGTCACCTCTGCCCCACTCTTATTTTTTAAGACCCTTACAAAAGCTATTTTAGAGAAAATGTCTATAATCGTTAGCATGTATCGATTTCCATCATTTTTATCGGCAAGTGCCTGCATGTCACATAGATGAGCCTGAAACTGTGATAAGGGATGAGCAGAAAAAAACTATATTTTGAGGAAATTGTTTTTGCACAGGTTTATGCAAAGTGTAAGCATCCTGCTCTACTAGCCAATCGTTTATTTTATCATTGCTTAACCTGCTGCCTGTTTCTTCAGCTATAGCTCTTTGGAACCTCTCCTTTCCACCCAAAGACTCCGGGTTGGAGGGGGTATAATACATGGTTTTCATCAGCTGCTCAGCCATCCTTCTTGCCTCATTGATCGCAATAACATTAATGCACCCATTTCAAATAACAATCAGTTTTTGCATACATTTTTATGTATTACGTATCCATACAATTTAGGATATGTAGCAAGAGATTATTACCCATTTTCTCAATGACCATGGCATGCAATACATGGTACACTTGGTTTACATTTACAGGCTTATATCTCTGAATTTTTGAAACACATACAGTTCCAGTCAAAAATTTGGGCACACCTACTCATTCATGGGTTTTTCTTTATTTTTACTATTTTTTACATTGTAGGATAATAGTGAAGACATCAAAACTATGAAATAACACATATGGAATCATGTAGTAAGCAAAGAAGTGTTAAACAAATCAAGGGGGGGGTATACAGAAGATAGCCCTATTTGGTAAAAGACCAAGTCCATATTATGGCAAGAACAGCTCAAATAAGCAAAGAGAAACGACAGTCCATCATTACTTTAAGACATGAAGGTCAGTCAATACGGAAAATTTCAAGAACTTTGAAAGTTTCTTCAAGTGCAGTCGCAGAAACCATCAAGCAGTATGATGAAACTGGCTCTCATGAGGACCACCACAGGAATGGAAGACCCAGAGTTACCTCTGCTGCAGAGGATAAGTTCATTAGAGTTACCAGCCTCAGAAATTGCAGCCCAATAAATGCTTCACAGAGTTCAAGTAACAGACACATCTCAACATCAACTGACATCAGCTGTTCAGAGGGGACTGTGTGAATCAGGCCTTCTTGGTCGAATTGCTGCAAAGAAACCACTACTAAAGGACACCAATAATAAGAAGAGACCTGCTTGGGCCAAGAAACACAAGTCCAAATTGGAGATTTTTGTTTCCAACCGCTGTGTCTTTGTGAGACGCAGTGTGGGTGAATGGATGATCTCCGCATGTGTATTTCCCACCGTAAAGCATGGAGGAGGAGGTGTTATGGTGTGGGGTGCTTTGCTGGTGACACAGTATGTGATTTATTTAGAATTCAAGGCACACTTAACCAGCATGGCTACCACAGCATTCTGTAGCGATACGCCATCCCATCTAGTTTGGGCTTAGTGGGACTATCATTTGTTTTTCAACAGGACAATGACCCGACACACCTCCAGGCTGTTTAAGGGCTATTTGACCAAGAAGGAGAGTGATGGAGTGCTGCATCAGATGACCTGGCCTCCACAATCACCTGACCTCAACCCAATTGAGATGGTTTGGGATGAGTCGGACGGCAGAGTGAAGGAAAAGCAGCCAACAAGTGCTCAGCATATGTGGGAACTCCTTCAAGACTGTTGGAAAAGCATTCCAGGTGAAGCTGGTTGAGAGAATGCCAAGAGTTTGCAAAGCTGTCGTCAAGGCAAAGGGTGGCTATTTGAAGAATCTCAAATATAAAATATATTTTGATTTGTTTAACACTTTTTTGGTTACTACATTATTCCATATGTGTTATTTCATAGTTTTGATGTCTTCACTATTATTCTACAGTGTAGAAAATAGTAAAAATAAAGAAAAACCCTTGAATTAATAGGTGTGTCCAAACTTTTGACTGGTACTGTACATCCGTTATATAAGTATATAAACAAGAAATATGATACATGTTACAATTAAAGGATAGATCAAACAAATAAACTAAAATCTTAGACAAGGCTGTTTCTAGTTCTTCAGAATCATCCCCAAGACATGAGACCAGTTGTGACCATTGTCTTCCGACATTTGTCTTACATGACTCGTGATTTTTTCAACTTTTAACACATGCTCTGCATTAACCCCTGTGTTGTTGGCTGTGTAGAGCGAGGCATTGGCCACTTTATTTTCAATCATTTGTTTCATAAGAGTTGTACATTTTCTCAAAAAAATTTTTTTAGTTATTCTCTCTAACATATTATGCAAATAGTTCCCTATTACTTTATGTAATAAAAAAATAAACAAATTAAAGTTATTCGTTTTCTTGGGGCTTATTGAGCTAGAAAGTCACCACATCCGCCACCAAAGTTTCCTAGTCTTTGTTGTCGTCCACCAGTGATTTCTTTGAGTTTCTCATGGATGAAGATCGACTCCTTCAGTTCATGTAGAAAAGCCTCTGTTACACCATAAACCCTAGAATTAGATGGTACAAAACCCACAGAGTCCAGGGCTCTGTTATAAAACGATCGGACCACAGTCTTTTCACCAGTTCATCAAAGTGGTTGAAGAAGAAGTACTTGGGTGGGTCATATAAACAAGGATGTCGTCGCTGGCTGGGATGATTGATCTTACAACCTTAGCATGTTTCTCTTTTATACTCTCCAATCACCACATCTAAAAGTGTGGCTACAGAGGCCTTGATGGTATCCACAAAAATAGTACTGACCACCCCATCAAACACATCCTCATGATGTACAGTGGGGAAAAAAAGTATTTAGTCAGCCACCAATTGTGCAAGTTCTCCCACTTAAAAAGATGAGAGAGGCCTGTAATTTTCATCATAGGTACACATCAACTATGACAGACAAATTAGAAATATAAATACAGAAAATCACATTGTAGGATTTTTAATGAATTTATTTGCAAATTATGGTGGAAAATAAGTATTTGGTCAATAACAAAGTTTCTCAATACTTTGTTATATACCCTTTGTTGGCAATGACACAGGTCAAACGTTTTCTGTAAGTCTTCACAAGGTTTTCACACACTGTTGCTGGTATTTTGGCCCATTCCTCCATGCAGATCTCCTCTAGAGCAGTGATGTTTTGGGGCTGTCGCTGGGCAACACGGACTTTCAACTCCCTCCAAAGATTTTCTATGGGGTTGAGATCTGGAGACTGGCTAGGCCACTCCAGGACCTTGAAATGCTTCTTACGAAGTCCACTCCTTCGTTGCCCGGGCGGTGTGTTTGGGATCATTGTCATGCTGAAAGACCCAGCCACGTTTCATCTTCAATGCCCTTGCTGATAGAAGGAGGTTTTCACTCAAAATCTCACGATACATGGCCCCATTCATTCTTTCCTTTACACGGATCAGTCGTCCTGGTCCCTTTGCAGAAAAACTGCCCCAAAGCATGATGTTTCCACCCCCATGCTTCACAGTAGGTATGGTGTTCTTTGGATGCAACTCAGCATTCTTTGTCCTCCAAACACGACAAGTTTAGTTTTTACCAAAAAGTTCTATTTTGGTTTCAACTGACCATATGACATTCTCCCAATCCTCTTCTGGATCATCCAAATGCAAACTTCAGACGGGCCTGGACATGTACTGGCTTAAGCAGGGGGACACGTCTTGCACTGCAGGATTTGAGTCCCTGGCGGCGTAGTGTGTTACTGATGGTAGGCTTTGTTACTTTGGTCCCATCTCTCTGCAGGTCATTCACTAGGTCCCCCCGTGTGGTTCTGGGATTTTTGCTCACCGTTCTTGTGATCATTTTGACCCCACGGGGTGAGATCTTGCGTGGAGCCCCAGATCGAGGGAGATTATCAGTGGTCTTGTATGTCTTCCATTTCCTAATAATTGCTCCCGCAGTTGATTTCTTAAAACCAAGCTGCTTACCTATTGCAGATTCCGTCTTCCCAGCCTGGTGCAGGTCTACAATTTTGTTTCTGGTGTCCTTTGACAGCTTTTTGGTCTTGGCCATAGTGGAGTTTGGAGTGTGACTGTTTGAGGTTGTGGACAGGTGTCTTTTATACTGATAACAAGTTCAAACAGGTGCCATTAATACAGGTAACGAGTGGAGGACAGAGGAGCCTCTTAAAGAAGAAGTTACAGGTCTGTGAGAGCCAGAAATCTTGCTTGTTTGTAGGTGACCAAATACTTATTTTCCACCATAATTTGCAAATAAATTCATTAAAAATCCTACAATGTGATTTTCTGGATTTTTTTCCTCAATTTGTCTGTCATAGTTGACGTGTACCTATGATGAAAATTACAGGCCTCTCTCATCATTTTAAGTGGGAGAACTTGCACAATTGGTGGCTGACTAAATACTTTTTTCCCCCACTGTATATGTAGGGGGTGTCGGAGGGCATGAATGGGGTGAGTAGAAGGGAGGGCTGAGACGCATATCCGAGTCCTTAGGGTTTGGTACCCACGCCATATTGGAGTCCTCAGATGGTATATGAATATCCATGGTATATGATGAAATGAAGACCCAAAGGGGGATGTTAACCATCTTTTATTGTTGAACCCTTCCTTTGGGCTCGGGGCGTGGTTAACGTACCACCAACATACTTAGTTTCATTCAGGGGTTGACCCTTCTGGGGCCTCGTTTGAATCAATATCCGTAGTATCCATAGGTATAATGCACTTCCTTAGTTTAACAATACTCTGCCTGGGTTGGCTCTGTAAGAAGAGAGCATTCCACCAATAGGAAAAACGCCAAGGGGAATGAATACTTTTGCAAGGCACTGTATGTCCTCTCAGACCGTTGGTCTGGAGTAGGACTAGATAGAGTTAAATACAGGATTGGGTGGTGGGTTTTTTAGAGAGAGGGCCATTTTCCTTTTTCCCAATTTTGTTTTACTGTATCAAATAATATAATGTAGGTAGGCTGTGAATGGCCTCACACACCAGTACAATAGGTGGCGGTGTAAGTACATAACAGTTGGATGCGATCCGCCAACCAAATCCCAAAGAAGAAGATAACGTATTTTTTTTTTTGGACCAAGGCCACAACACTCCTGCCCCACAGAGTGTTTGCCTGCCCACTACTGGACAAGAAAGTAATGACACCGGTAGTCGCATTTTGACGAGCGGATGCTGCGACGTCACGGTTTTGGTCAGCGCGGCAAGTCTAGTAACAACTTTCGCAGCTAAAAAAAATAAGGTAATTTTTGTTCTGCATGATGCCTTAGTACACTCTTCACATATTGCAAGTGTTGGTCGTTGTGTTCACATGTCAAATTGTGAAAAATAAATCGCTGATAGTCCAAGCTAACGTTATCTTTCCAAGTTTGCTAGCTTGTCAGACATTATCTCCACCCCGTTTGCCCAATTTTGTACTGCTAATCACACATGCCCATGTAGTCCAAATCGATACTGTGCTTTTGCAATGTTTCCAAATGAATAGCTAGCTTCTAGGCTGCAATATACAGAGTGTACAAAACATTAAGAACACCTTCCTACTATTGAGTTTGCCCTCACAGTGCCTCAATTCGTCCAGGCGTGGACTCTACAATGTGTCGAAAGCGTTCCACAGGGATGCTGGCCCATTTGACTCCAATCCTTTTGGCTGGATGTCCTTTGGGTGGTGGACCATTATTAATACATACTGGAAACTGTTGAGCGTGAAAAACCCAGCAGCGTTGCCGTTCTTGATACAAACCGGTGGGCCTGGCACCTACTACCATAAGCAATTCAAAGGTACTTAGATATTTAGTCTTGCCCATTCAACGTCTGAATAGCACACATACACAATCCATGTCTCAATTGTATCAAGGTTGAACATTTTGGCCAACCCGACCAAATTCACATAGAAATGTGAGTTTTAGATGATCTTCTTCATCGAAAGTAAGTCTAAGAAACGGCAGACTGTTCTATGTGAGCTATTTCCGTGTTTCCAATTAAGTTTCGTTTCCGTTTTGTACACGAACTTCAAACAGCTGAAAATACAATATTTTTGGTTATGGAAAATATATTTCACAGCGGTTTGGATGGTACAATGATTCTCTACACTTGGGAAAGTATTCAGACTTTTTCCACATTTTATTCTAAAATTGATTAAATAGTTGTTTTTTTTTACTCATCAATCAACACACAATACCCCATAACGACAAAGCAAAAACAGGTTTGTAGAAATTTGAGCAAATAAAAAATAATCTGAAATTACATTTTACATAAGTATTCAGACCCTTTACTCAGCACTTTGTTGAAGTACCTTTGGCAGTGATTACAGCCTTGAGTCTTTCCAAATCATGTCCAATCAATTGAATTTACCACAGGTGGACTCCAATCAAGTTGTAGAAACATCTCAAGGATGATCAATGAAAACAGGATGCACCTGAGCTCAATTTCGTGTCTCATAGCAAAGGGTCTGAATACTTATGTAAATAAGGTATTTCTGTTTTATTTTTTATACATTTGCAAAAATGTTTAAACCTGTTTTCACTTCGTCATAATGGGGTATTGTGTGTAGATTGCTGAGGATTATTTATTTTTAAAATCCATTTTAGAATAAGGCTGTAACGTAACAAAGTGGAAAAAGTCAAGGGGTCTGAATACTTTCCGAAGGCACTGTACATTCATGTGTTGTCACAAATTGAAATTAGGCAAACTAGAATTTTAGCAAACAGGAAATGGCGGAGCGATTTCTGCATAGTGCAGCTTTAACCTGTCTCCTCCCCTTCATCTACACTGATTTGAAGTGGACATCAATAAGGGATCATAGCTTTCTCCTGGTCGGTCTGTCATGGAAAGAGCAGGTGTTCTTAATGTTTTGTACATTGTGTAGAGCTAAACACATTACATCACACGATGGGTTAGCTAGCAAACGTTAAACAAAGATCTGACCAGAGAGACTAGGGGGTGTTTTCCCGAGCCAGCTACATGCATGTTTGCCCATTCAGTAATTAAATTACTTTTGCTATCAGAAGTTGGCATCTGCTGAGATTGCTAATTTAAGTTCTTGTTCCCCAGCTGAACCCAATAAAGGTGCAAAGATGTCCAGAATTGAGAAGATGAGCATCCTCGGTGTGAGGAGCTTTGGAGTGGAAGACAAAGACAAACAAGTCATATCATTCTTTAATCCCTTGACTGTGTTAGTGGGACCCAATGGTGCTGGTAAAACGGTAAGTTGCATGATGTATACAGCCTGTATGCTGCCCTGCAGAAAAAAAGGTAGTATCACATAGCATTACATTAATTGACATTACATTTACATTACATTTTAGTCATTTAGCAGACGCTCTTATCCAGAGCGACTTACAGGAGCAATTAGGGTTAAGTGCCTTGCTCAAGGGCACATTAACGTCATTTAGCAGACGCTCTTAGCCAGAGCGACTCGCAAATTGGTGCGTTCACCCTATAGCCAGTGGGATAACCACTTTACAATTGGGGGGGGGGGGGGGGGGGGGGGGGGTTAGAAGGAACACTTTATCCTATCCCAGGTATTCCTTAAAGAGGTGGGGTTTCAAATGTCTCCGGAAGGTGGTGAGTGACTCCGCTGTCCTGGCGTCGTGAGGGAGCTTGTTCCACCATTGGGGTGCCAGAGCAGCGAACAGTTTTGACTGGGCTGAGCGGGAGCTATGCTTCCGCAGAGGAAGGGGAGCCAGCAGGCCAGAGGTGGATGAACGTAATGCCCTCGTTTGGGTGTAGGGACTGATCAAAGCCTGAAGGTACAGAGGTGCCGTTCCCCTCACTGCTCCATAGGCAAGCACCATGGTCTTGTAGCGGATGCGAGCTTCAACTGGAAGCCAGTGGAGTGTGCGGAGGAGGGGGGTGACGTGAGAGAACTTGGGAAGGTTGAACACCAGACGGGCTGCGGCATTCTGGATGAGTTGTAGGGGTTTAATGGCACAGGCAGGGAGGCCAGCCAACAGCGAGTTGCAGTAGTCCAGACGGGAGATGACAAGTGCCTGGATTAGGACCTGTGCCGCTTCCTGTGTAAGGCAGGGTCGTACTCTCCGAATGTTGTAGAGCATGAACCTGCAGGAGCGGGTCACCGCCTTGATGTTGGCGGAGAACGACAGGGTGTTGTCCAGGGTCACGCCTAGGCTCTTCGCACTCTGGGAGGAGGACACAGCGGAGTTGTCAACCGTGATGGCGAGATCATGGAACGGGCAGTCCTTCCCCGGGAGGAAGAGCAGCTCCGTCTTGCCAGGGTTCAGCTTGAGGTGGTGATCAGTCATCCATACTGATATGTCTGCCAGACATGCAGAGATGCGATTCGCCACCTGGTTATCAGAAGGGGGAAAGGAGAAGATTAGTTGTGTATCGTCAGCGTAGCAATGATAGGAAAGGCCATGTGAGGATATGACAGAGCCAAGTGACTTGGTGTATAGGGAGAAAAGGAGAGGGCCTAGAACTGAGCCCTGGGGGACACCAGTGGTGAGAGCACGTGGTGCGGAGACAGCTTCTCGCCACGCCACTTGGTAGGAGCGACCGGTCAGGTAGGACGCAATCCAGGAGTGAGCCGCGCCGGAGATGCCCAGCTCGGAGAGGGTGGAGAGGAGGATCTGATGGTTCACAGTATCAAAGGCAGCAGACAGGTCTAGAAGGACAAGAGCAGAGGAGAGAGAGTTAGCTTTAGCAGTGCGGAGAGTCTCAGTGACACAGAGAAGAGCAGTCTCAGTTGAATGACCAGTCCTGAAACCTGATTGGTTTGGATCAAGAAGGTCATTCTGAGAGAGATAGCAAGAGAGTTGGCTAAAGACGGCACGCTCAATAGTTTTGGAAAGAAAAGAAAGAAGGGATACTGGTCTGTAGTTGTTGACATCAGTGGGGTCGAGTGTTGGTTTTTTGAGAAGGGGAGCAACTCTCGCTCTCTTGAAGACGGAAGGGACATGGCCAGCGGTCAAGGATGAGTTGATCAGCGAGGTGAGGTAGGGGAGAAGGTCACCGGAGATGGTCTGGAGAAGGGAGGAGGGGATGGGGTCAAGCGGGCAGGTTGTTGGGCGGCCTGCAGTCACAAGTCGCAGGATTTTATCTGGAGAGAGAGGGGAGAAAGAAGTCAAAGCATAGGGTAGGGCAGTGTGAGCAGGACCAGCAGTGTCATTAGACTTAACAAACGAGGATCGGATGTCGTCAACCTTCTTTTCAAAGTGGTTGACGAAGTCATCTACAGAGAGAGAGGAGGGGGGGAGGGGGGGGGGGGGGGGGGGGGGGATTCAGGAGGGAGGAAAATGTGGCAAAGAGCTTCCTAGGGTTAGAGGCAGATGCTTGGAATTTAGAGTGGTAGAAGGTGGCCTTAGCAGCAGAAACAGATGAAGAAAATGTAGAGAGGAGGGAGTGAAAAGATGCCAGGTCGGCAGGGAGTTTAGTTTTCTTCCATTTCCGCTCCGCTGCCCGGAGCTCTGTTCTGTGAGCTCGCAATGAGTCATCAAGCCACGGAGCTGGAGGGGAGGACCGAGCCGGAGGGGAGGACCGAGCCGGCCGGGAGGATAGGGGACACAGAGAGTCAAAGGATGCAGAAAGGGAGGAAAGGAGGGTTGAGGAGGCAGAATCAGGAGATTGGAGGGAGAAGGATTGAGCAGAGGGCAGAGATGATAGGATGGAAGAGGAGAGAGTAGTGGGAGAGAGAGAGCGAAGGTTGCGGCGGCGCATTACCATCTGTGTAGGGGCAGAGTGAGTAGTGTGGGAGGAGAGCGAGAGAGAAAAGGAAACAAAGTAGTGGTCAGAGACATGGAGGGGAGTTGCAGTGAGATTAGTAGAGGAGCAGCATCTAGTGAAGATGAGGTCAAGCGTATTGCCTGCCTTGTGAGTAGGGGGGGACGGTGAGAGGGTGAGGTCAAAAGAGGAGAGGAGTGGAAAGAAGGAGGCAGAGAGAAATGAGTCAAATGTGGACATAGGGAGGTTGAAATCCCCCAAAACTGTGAGGGGTGAGCCATCCTCAGGGAAGGAACTTATCAAGGCGTCAAGCTCATTGATGAACTCTCCAAGGGAACCTGGAGGGCGATAGATGACAAGGATATTAAGCTTAAATGGGCTAGTGACTGTGACAGCATGGAATTCAAATGAGGAGATAGACAGATGGTAGGGAAAATGAGATCCACTTGGGAGGATGCGCGATGTACCACACCATGACCAGGCTTCGGGATAGAACACATGTCAACCAGGGACACTATTACCATAGAGAGGGATCATTAGCCGATGAGGCGATAAATACAAACCCTGATCACACTTCTTGATGGGATAGTGGGTGTGATAGATACACAGTATTGCATGATTTTGACCTAGCCTGCTTCAATTTGTTGGTGTGTATTGCAGACAGTTAACTATGCTGGTAGATTTAAGGGCTTATGTTAATCCACCTTTTTCCTCCTCTGGCCACAGACTATCATTGAGTGTCTGAAGTATGTAACAGCCGGTGAATTTCCCCCAGGAAGCAAAGGGAATACATTTGTTCATGATCCAAAGGTGAGGACCTCTGTCCATCTTGGTTGGCTTTGTAAGTGAGTTTGTTTATACATCAAGGCAAAGCAGAGAAATATTAATGTTTATGGTTTGTCAACATTACTCATAACGAAGGCCTGGAGTTTTTTCTTGTCAGCGAAAACCCTTTTGTATAACATCCTCCTTGACATATCCAGTTCCTAGGCCCTGGTTTTCATGCATAAGCGGTACCTAATATTGTCTTTGGTGTGTTAGGATGCTCATGAGACTGACGTGCGAGCTCAGATCCGACTGCAGTTCACCGACCTAAATGGAGAGAAGGTGGCAGTTCAAAGGTCCATGCAGGCAACACAGAAGGGCAAGAAGACTGAGTTCAGAAGTCTGGAGGGGGTCATCACCAGGATCAAGTGAGTTTAAGCGTCACTCTACCTTAACCACAGAATATGTTCAAGAGAAGTGGCAGAAGCTATATTGTACACAGGGCCGGCCCGCCCATTAGGCAGGATTAGGCAGCCACCTAGGGCAGCAGATTTACGAGGGCGGCATTTTCCGAGCTAAACTGATCTACGCACCTCCAACAACACATAACACGTCACATAATTCTGTCCAAAAACAATGAAAACATATACATAAACTCAGCAAAAAAGAAACGTCCTCTCACTGTCAACTGCGTTTATTTTCAGCTAACTTAACATGTGTAAATATTTGTATGAACATAACAAGATTCAACAATTGAGACATAAACTGAACAAGTTCCACAGACATGTGACTAACAGAAATTGAATAATGTGTCCCTGAACAAAGGGGACGTCAAAATCGAAAGTAACAGTCAGTATCTGGTGTGGTCACCAGCTGCATTAAGTACTGCAGTGCATCTCCTCCTCATGGACAGCACCAGATTTGCCAGTTCTTGCTGTGAGATGTTACCCCACTCTTCCACCAAGGCACCTGCAAGTTCTCGGACATTTCTGGGGGGAATGGCCCTAGCCCTCACCCTCCAATCCAACAGATCCCAGACGTGCTCAATGGGATTGAGATCCAGGCTCTTCGCTGGCCATGGCAGAACGAGCAGTATTGCTGGTGGCATTGTCATGCTGGAGGGTCATGTCAGGATGAGCCTGCAGGAAGGGTACCACATGAGGGGAGGATGTCTTCCCAGTAACGCACAGCGTTGAGATTGCCTGCAATGACAACAAGCTCAGTCCGATGATGCTGTGACACACCGCCCAAGACCATGACGGACCCTCCACCTCCAAATCGATCCCGCTCCAGAGTACAGGCCTCGGTGTAACACTCATTCCTACGACGATAAACTCTAATCCGACCATCACCCCTGGTGAGACAAAACCGCGACTCGTCAGTGAAGAGCACTTTTTGCCGGTCCAGTGACGGTGGGTTTGTGCCCATAGGCGACGTTGTTGCCGGTGATGTCTGGTGAGGACCTGCCTTACAACAGGCCTACAAGCCCTCAGTCCAGCCTCTCTCAGTTATTGCGGACAGTCTGAGCACTGATGGAGGGATTGTGCATTCCTGGTGTAACTCGGGCAGTTGTTGTTGCCGCCATCCTGTACCTGTCCCACAGGTGTGATGTTCGGATGTACCGATCCTGTGCAGGTGTTGTTACACGTGGTGTTCCACTGCGAGGACGATCAGCTCGAAAGACGTCCCTTTTTCAGGACCCTGTCTTTCAAAGATAGATTCGTCAAAATCCAAATAACTTCACAGATCTTCATTGTAAAAGCTTTAAACACTGTTTCCCATGCTTGTTCAATGAACCATAAACAATGAATGAAGATGCACCTGTGGAATGGTCGTTAAGACACTAACAGCTTACAGACGGTAGGCAATTAAGGTCACAGTTATGAAAACTTAGGACACTAAAGAGGCCTTTCTACTGACTTTGAAAAACACCAAAAGAAAGATGCCCAGGTTCCCTGCTTATCTGTGTGAACGTGCCTTAGGCATGCTGCAAGGAGGCATGAGGACTGCAGATGTGGCCAGGGCAATAAATTGCAATGTCCGTACTGTGAGACGCCTAAGACAGCACTACAGGGAGAGGACGGACAGCAATCCAAATGCAACATGCATTGGTCAGAAAATCGTTACGTATCGCCCGTTCACCAATTATTCTTCCGAAAATACATCCTTTGGTGACAACTGCGTCCTCTCCTTCTGTGTTGAACTTAACACGTAATTATGTTGATGGTCATCGATCTACAAGTCATTTTGCATGCTGAAAAATCCCAGGCAATATCAGTAGCCTAGTCAAACTGCGCACTGTACGCAGCTTCGAGCGGTGATCAACGACAACCAATATGTCATTTGCCTAGGTAATTTTTGTCAAATGAGCTGTTGAAAATTGTGTTTTACCGGAATCGTAGCCTAAGCTACCGCTGGAGAAACAACTCTCATCTGGCTATAGGTAGGCTACATGCTGGTTGATTGTTTTCGATTGCTCATGTTCACCATCAGCAATAGTTTTGGTAGTTTTGCTTGAAACAATCAGTATATATGGTCATTTTTAGATATACCTGGGGCGGCAGGTAGCTTAGTGGGTAAGAGCATTGTCAGTAACCGAAAGGTCGCTGGTTCTAATCCCCGAGCCGACTAGGTGAAAAATCTGTCGATGTGCCCTTAAGCAAGGCACTTAACCCTAATTGCTCCTGTAAGTCGCTCCGGATAAGAGCGTCTGCTAAAATGTAAAATGTACACGCTCACTGTAGCTAGTATTGACATTATAATTAAATCACAATGGATTAGAGCTGGGCGGTATACCGTATTTGACTATATACCATTATTGATGAACGGACCAGTTTGGGTTTTTACTTTACCTTCTATAATGGTATTTATTTTTTATAGTTTACTCTGCTACTTGAGTCGACTCTCTCCCACTCTCACCAAGCCCCGCCTCCTGTCACTCAATGAGCCCAGTTGTTGTTGTTGCTCAACCATGAGAGATAATTTGCCGACCGTTCACTCTTCAGTCTGCAGCAGATGCAACAATATGATGATGACAACGATGCAGTTTTCCACTTTGCTTCTTAATATACACTGAACAAAAATATAAACGCAACATGTAAAGTGTTGGTCCCATGTGTCATGAGATGAAATAAATGATCCCAGAAATTGTCCATATGCACAAAAAGCATATTTCTCTCAAATGTTGTGCACATTTGTTTACATTCCTGTAAGTGAGCATTTCTCCTTTGCCAAGATAATCCATCCACCTGACAGGTGTGGCATATCAAGAAGCTGATTAAACAGCATGATCATTACACAGGTGCACCTTGTGCTGGGGACAATAAAAGGCTGCTCTAAAATGTTCAGCATGCAATTGGCATGCTGACGACAGGAATGTCCACCAGAGCTGTTGCCAGATAATTTCATTTGAATTTCTCTACCATAAGCTGCCTCCAATGTCGTTTTAGAGAATTTGGCAGTAATTACGTCCACCTGGCATCACAACCGCAGACCACGTGCATGATGTCGTGTGGGCGAGCGGTTTGCTGATGTCAACGTTGTGAACCGAGTGTCCCATGATGGCGGATCAACGTGTACGACAGCGTGTTCCAGTTCCCACCAATATCCAGCGACTTCGCACAGCCATTGAAGAGGAGTGGGACATTCTAAAGGCCACAATCAACAGCCTGATCAACTCAATGCAAAGGAGATGTCGCGCTGCATGAGACAAATGGTGGTCACACCAGATACTGACTGGTTTTCTGATCCATGCCCTACCTGCATATCTGTATTCCCAGTCATGTGAAATCCATAGATTAGGGCCTAATGAATTTATTTCAATTGACTGATTTCCTTATATGAACTGTAACTCAGTAAGATCTTTGAAATTGTTGCGTTTATTTTTGTTCAGTAAGCGTTCTGTAATTACACTATTAGTTTGTATCTTGCTGTTTGCAAAAGGCTAGTTTGTCTTAGCAAGTTGCTAAAATAGTCATTTTAGCCGCTAATGTTAATCACTAGTTAGCTGGCTAGCTAATAAATGTACTAAAAGCAAGAGCAAACGTAGCTATCTAATACGGATACCAGTGCTGGTGTAGGCCTAAGTCAAAATGTTGTTTGTGCAACAGTATCTTCTAAATCAGAGAGGAATAGGCGAAGCATGAATATGTTAGCTACATAGAAGTAAGAGAGAATATTTAATGTAGCCAAAGATTATAGGGTCCTGATGAACACTTTGGTTCCTAACCTGTCACAATTACACCACATTAGTGATCCTATTAGTATTCTAATTCCCAATTCTATGACCGCCTCCTGGCTTTATCATTCGTTGTCATGTCAAACAACACTGTATTTAAAGTGCCTACAATTACATTCTAACTATATAGTTAGAATAATCATTATATTTCCATGATTACAACAGTTCCCCCAAGTGTTTTGATCTATATCGCAAGTCAAATCACAATTGCAATATTTGGTTAAAAATAAGTCCTCGAATTTATTTCTGTTTGCCCATATCGTGCAGACCTACGTGTTCGATGGGGTTGAGGTCAGGGCTCTGTGCAGGCCAGTCAAGTTTTTCCACACCGATCTCAACAAATAATTTCTGAATGGACCTCGCTTTGTACACCGGGGCATTGTCATGCTGAAACAGGAAAGGGCCTTCCCCAAGCTGTTGCCACAAAGTTGGAAGCACAGAATCATCTAGAATGTCATTGTATGCTGTAGCGTTAAGATTTCCCTTCCCTGGAATTAAGGGGCCTAGCCCAAACCATAGAAAACAGCCCCAGATCATTATTCCTCCTCCAACAAACTTTACAGTTGGCAGGTAGCGTTCTCCTGGCATCTGCCAAATCCAGATTCGTCCGTCGGACTGCCAGATGGTGAAGCGTGATTCATCACTCCAGAGAACGCGTTTCCACTGCTCCAGAATCCAATGGTGGCGAGCTTTACACCACTACAGCCGACACTTGGCATTGCGCATGGTGATCTTAGGCTTGTTTGCAGCTGCTCTGCCATGGAAACCCATTTCTTGAAGTTCCCGACGAACAGTTCTTGTGCTGACTTTGCTTCCAGAGGAACTCGGTAGTGAGTGTTGCAACCGAGGACAGACTATTTTTACGTGCTTCAGCAGTCGGCGGTCCCGTTCTGTGAGCTTGTGTGGCCTACCACTTCGCGACTGAGCCGTTGTTGCCCCTAGACGTTTCCACTTCATAATAACAGCACTTAGAGTTGACCGGGGAAGCTCTAGTAAGGGCAGAAATGTGATGAACTGACTTGTTGGAAAGGTGGCATCCTATGACGGTGCCACGTTGAAAAGTAATTTGAGGGGGTGTCTACATACTTTTGTCCATGTAGTGAATCTAAAACTTATAGATGATTTGAACAAAATGTGTAAAAATGCTAATATCGTTCCCATAACTTGAATGGGATTTGAAACAGTTCCATGGAAACTAAACCAAAGCAAGGATTGCTGTCACACCTTGTCCATATACTGCTTACTGGGTAAGAAAACCAATATGTAATTTTGGAATTTGGGTGAACTACACTTTCTTTCACCCAAAATTCAGAATGACATTGGTTTCCTTACCCTGTAGACAAGGTATGACAGCAATCCATGCTATGGTTTTGTTTACATGGCAACTGTTTCAAATGCTTACCTTTTTATTAGCAGTTGTGGCACAAATCCAATGCAAGTCAATGGTACGTACACTACCGGTCAAAAGTTTTAGAACACTTACTCATTCAAGGGTTTTTCTTTATTTTTACTATTTTCTACATTATAGAATAATAGTGAAGCTATCAAAACTATGAAATAACACATGGAATCATGTAGTAACCAAAAAAGTGTTAAACAAATATTTTATATTTGAGATTCTTCAAAGTAGCCACCCTTTGCCTTGATAACATCTTTGCACACTCTTGGCATTCTCTCAACCAGCTTCACCTGGAATGCTTTTCCAACAGTCTTGAAGGAGTTCCCACATATGCTGAGCACTTGTTTGCTGCTTTTCCTTCACTTCATCGCGGTCACAGCTCTCGCGGTCACGGCTCTCGTAGCCGGCCGTGACCGGGAGACCCATGACCGGGAGACCCATGGGTCGGCGCACAATTGGCCCAGCGTCGTCTAGGGTAGGGGAGGGAATGGCCGGCAGGGATGTAGCTCAGTTGGTAGAGCATGGCGTTTGCAACGCCAGGGTTGTGGGTTTGATTCCCACGGGGGTATGGAAAAAAATAAAATTAAATAATAAAATGTATGCACTCACTAACTGTAAGTCGCTCTGGATAAGAGCGTCTGCTAAATTACTAAAATGTAAATGTAAAAATGTTGTGGAGGCCAGGTCATCTGATGCAGCACTCCATCACTCTCCTTCTTGGTTAAATAGCCCTTACACAGCCTGGAGGTGTGTTGGGTCATTGTCCTGTTGAAAAACAAATGATGGTCCCACTAAGCCCAAACCAGATGGGATGGCGTATCACTGCAGAATGCTGTGGTAGCCATGCTGGTTAAGTGTGCCTTGAATTCTAAATAAATCACTGAGTGTCACCAGCAAAGCACCATCACACCACCACCTCCATGCTTCATGGTGGGAACCACACATGCGGAGATCATCCGTTCACCTACTCTGCGTCTCACAAAGCCACGGCAGTTGGAACCAAATATCTCAAATTTGGACTCATCAGACCAAAGGACAGATTTCCACCGGTCTAATGTCAATTTATTGTGTTTCTTGGCCCAAGCAAGTCTCTTCTTCTTATTGGTGGCCTTTAGTGGTTTCTTTACAGCAATTCAACCATGAAGGCCTGATTCACGCAGTCTCCTCTGAACAGTTGATGTTGAGATGTCTGTTACTTTAACTCTGTGAAGCATTTATTTGGGCTGCAATCTGAGGCTGGAAACTCTAATGAACTTATCCTCTGCAGCAGAGGTAACTCTAGTTCTTCCTTTCCTGTGGCGGTCCTCATGAGAGCCAGTTTCATCATAGGTCTTGATTGTTTTTGCGACTGCACTTGAAGAAACTTTAAGTTCTTGACATTTTCAGGATTGACTGACCTTTGTCTTAATGTAATGATGGACTGTCGTTTCTCTTTGCTTATTTGAGCTGTTCTTGCCATAATGTGGACTTGGTATTTTACCAAATAGGGCTATCTTCTGTATACCACCCCTACCTTGTCACAACACAACTGATTGGCTCAAACGCATAAAGAAGGAAATAAATTCCACAAATTAACTTTTTTAGCAAGGCACACCTGTTAATTGAAATGCATTCCAGGTGACTACCTCATGAAGCTGGTTGAGAGAATGCCAAGCGTGTGCAAAGCTGACATCAAGTCAAAGTGTGGCTTTAAAAAAAAGAAAAAAAAGCCAGTTGAGAATAAGTTCTCATTTACAACTGCAACCTGGCCAAGATAAAGCAAAGCAGTGTGATTTTAAAAACAACAACAACACAGAGTTACATATGGAATAAACAAAACGTACAGTCAATAACACAATAGAAAATCTATATACAGTGTGTGCAAATGTAGTAAGTTATGGAGGTAAGGCAATAAATAGGCCATAGTGCAAAATAATTACAATTTAGTATTAACACTGGAGTGATAGATGTGCAAATAGAGATACTGGTGTGCAAATGTGCAAAATAAATAACAATATGGGGATGAGGTAGTTGGGTGGGCTAATTACAGATGGGCTGTGTACAGGTGCAGTGATCGGTAAGCTGCTCTGACAACTGATGCTTAAAGATAGTGAGGGAAATAAGTGTCTCCAGCTTCAGAGATTTTTGCAGTTCGTTCCAGTCATTGGCAGCAGAGAACTGGAAGGAATGGCGGCCAAAGGAAGTGTTGGCTTTGGGGATGACCAGTGAGATATACCTGCTGGAACGCATACTACGGGTGGGTGTTGCTATGGTGACCAATGAACTAAGATAAGGCAGGGATTTGCCTAGAAGTGATTTATAGATGACCTGGAGCCAGTGGGTTTGGCGACGAATATGTAGTGAGAGCCAGACAACGAGAGCGTACAGGTCACAATGGTGGATAGTATATGGGGCTTTGGTGACAAAACGGATGGCACTGTGATAGACTACATCCAATTTGCTGAGTAGAGTGTTGGAAGCTATTTTGTAAATTTCGAAATAGGAAGCCGATTCTAGATTTAACTTTGGATTGGAGATGCTTAATGTGAGTCTGGAAGGAGAGTTTACAGTCTAACCAGACACCTAGGTATTTGTAGTTGTCCACATATTCTAAGTCAGACCCGCTGAGAGTAGTGATTCTAGTCGGGCGGGCAGGTGCAAGCAGCGTTCGATTGAAGAGCATGCATTTAGTTTTACTAGCGTTTAAGAGCAGTTGGAGGCCATTGAAGGAGTGTTGTATGGCATTGAAGCTCGTTTGGAGGTTTGTCAAGTGTCCAATGAAGGGCCAGATGTATACAAAATGGTGTCGTCTGCGTAGAGGTGGATCTGAGAGTCACCAGCAGCAAGAGCGACATCATTGATATACACAGAGAATAGAGTCGGCCCAAGAATTGAACCCTGTGGCACCCCCATAGACTGCCAGAGGTCCAGACAACAGGCCCTCTGATTTGACACATTGAACTCTATCTGAGAAGTAGTTGGTGAACCAGGCGAGGCAGTCATTTGAGAAACCAAGGCTAATTAGTCTGCCAATAAGAATGCAGTGAGTCAAAAGCCTTTGCCAGGTCAATGAAGACAGCTGCACAGTACTGTCTTTTATCAATCGCGGTTATTGTATCGTTTAGGACCTTGAGCGTGGCTGAGGTGCACCCATGACCAGCTCGGAAACCAGATTGCATAGCGGAGAAGGTACGGTGGGATTCAAAATGGTCGGTGATCTGTTTGTTAACTTGGCTTTCAAATACTTTCGAAAGGCAGGGCAGGATGGATATAGGTCTGTAACAGTTTGGATCTAGAGTGTCAACCCCTTTTGAAGAGGGGGATGACCGCGGCAGCTTTCCAATCTCTGGGGATCTCAGACGATACGAAAGAGAGGTTGAACAGGCTAGTAATAGGGGTTGCGACAATTTCGGCGGCTAATTTTAGAAAGGAAGGGTCCAGATTGTCTAGCCCAGCTGATTTGTAGGGGTCCAGATTTTTCAGGTCTTTCAGGACCCCAGCCGTAGCAAAATGCTTATTGAAATTCTCGATTATCGTAGATTTATCGGTGATGACAGTGTTTCCTAGCCTCAGTGCAGTGGGTAGCTGGGAGGAGGTGCTCTTATTCTCCATGGATTTTACAGTGTCCCAAAACGTTTAAGAGTTAGTTAGGAAAGCTTTTCAAACTGAAATTTGCATCCTGTAGCACTGATTGTGTATATTGGTTCCTTACTTCCCTGAAAAGTTGCAAATCGCGGGGGCTGTTGGATGTTAATGCAGTACGCCACAGGATGTTTTTGTGCTGGTCAAGAGCAGTCAAGTCTGGGGTGAACTAGGGGCTATATCTGTTCTTAGTTCTGAATTTTTTGAATGGGGCATGCTTATTTAAGATGGAGAGGAAAGCACTTTTGAAGAACATCCAGGCATCCTCTACTGACGGAATGAGGTCATTATCCATCCAGGATACCCGGGCCAGGTCAATTAGAAAGGCCTGCTTGCTGAGGTGTTTTAGGGAGCGTTTGACAGTGATGAGGGGTGGTCGTTTGACCGCGGACCCATTATGGACGCAGGCAATGAGGCAGTGATCGCTGAGATCCTGGTTGAAGACAGCGAAGGTGTATTTAGAGGGTAAATTAGTCAGGATGATATCTATGAGGGTGCCCATGTTTATGGATTTAGGGTTGTACCTGGTAGGTTCCTTGATAGTTTATGTGAGATTGAGGGCATCTAGTTTAGATTGTAGGACGGCCGGGGTGTTAAGCATATCCCAGTTTAGGTCACCAAGCAGTACGAACTCTGAGGATAGATGGGGGGCAAGCAATTCACATATGGTGTCCAGGGCACAACTGGGAGCTGAGGGGGGTCTGTAGCAAGCGGCAACAGTGAGAGACTTATTTCTGGAAAGGTGGATTTTTAGAAGTAGAAGCTCAAACTGTTTGGGCACAGACCTGGATAGTATGATAGAGCTCTGCATGCTATCTCTACAGTAGATTGCAACTCCACCCCCTTTGGCAGTTCTATCTATCTAGACGGAAAATGTTGTAGTTCGGGATTGACATTTCTGAATTTTTGGTGGCCTTCCTAAGCCAGGATTCAGACACTGCTAGAACATCAGGGTTGGCAGAGTGTGCTAACGCAGTGAACAACTCAAACTTGGGGAGGAGGCTTCTGATGTTAACATGTAATAAACCAAGGCTTTTACGGTTACAGAAGTCAACAAATGATAGCGCCTGGGGAGTAGGAGTGATACTGGGGGCTACAGGGCCTGGGTTAACCTCTACATCAACAGAGGAGGAAAATAATAAGGATACGGCTAAAGGCTTTAAGAACTGGTCTTCTAGTGCGTTGGGTACAGAGAATAAAAGGGCAGATTTCCAGGCATTGTAGAATAGATTCAGGGCATTATGTACAGACAAGGATATGGAAGGATATGAGTGCAGTGGAGGGACACCTAAGCATTGGGTAACGATGAAAGAGATAGCTACTTTGAAGAATCTCAAATATAAAATATATTTTGATTTGTTTTTTTTGTTTTTATATGTATGTATGTATGTGTGTATATATGTATGTGTGTATATATATATGTGTGTATGTGTATGTATGTATATGTGTGTGTTTTTGACTGCACTGGGCCTTTTAAACTTTGATGCTGTCCCAGGCATGGAGATAAGGTGAGCCTGAGCTCTAAGTGTGCAGAGCTGGACAGAGAGATGATCTCAGCGCTGGGTGTGTCCAAAGCTGTCCTCGACCATGTAATCTTCTGTCACCAAGAGGAGTCCAACTGGCCCCTGGGGGAAGGGAAGCCCCTCAAGTCCAAATTTGATGCAATCTTCTCAGCCACAAGGTACTCATCGAGTAGTGCTGTTCAGAGTCACACAACTGCCCATTTTATCAGAACTGTCTTTTCTCTGTATTTTGTCTGTGGTTAGTATTGCTTTACTCAGTGACCAGGGAATTTAATTTGAAATTCTTATTCAATTCTTGAATTCACTTATGAAGTGAATAATTTAAGTCATTCAATTTGAATTTCAACAATCTTTAAGTAATGGAATTGGAATTAGACAGTTTGAACTGTTGAATTGGAATTTGAATATTTCTAAATTAATTGAATTGGAATTCAATATGTACATTTCCCAGTTAATGGAATTAATGCACGAATTATCAAACATTTACTCCAGGGTTTGTTTCCAGCATAGCAAGGCTGTTTGAAGCGTGACATGATCTGCCTGAACTCCTGAGGGAATTACATTTGAATAAGTGGAATTGTTGGGGATAATATTGAATTGGTAATGTAATTTATGGAATTGACCAAACATTGGAATTGACAGGAATTTCAATTGAATTACATTGAATTTATAGGGAGAGGTAATTTAATTAGAGTAGAATTTGTAGAATTAACCCCAACCCTGATGGATATAAAGGATTTAGCTGTGAACCAACGATTCTCCCTCCCCCTGTCAGGTACATCAAGGTGCTGGAGACACTGAGGCAGCTGAGGCTCAAGCAGTCTAACGAGGTGAGAGAGTGCCAGATAGAGCTGAAGTTCCTGAAGCTGAACAAGGAGAAAGCCCTCGAGATCAGGGAGCTGCTTGCCACCAAGGAGACCCAGCTGGCCTCCTCCAAAGATGCCGTACAGAAGATTGAGAGCAAGATGGAACCCCTGGAGGTGTGACCTCATTCCATAGAGAATTTCTTCTAGACAAGATGAATGGTGTACATCTCCTTATGTTGTATTAGTGTTTTATAGAGCGTTATTTAGAAGCCAATTTAGAGGCTAAACAAATTGTTTTTGTCCTATCTAAAAGTAGGGTACTTAAAGTAAAATTCCTAAATAGTTAACTCAATTAAAATGTAGGCATGCGATGAAGAAGTCTGAAGATTTATACAGGTCATTAAGTATTTCTACCCGTTTTATTTCAGAACCGACTGGTTGACATTGATGAGAATCTGGGGAAAGTGATGAAGCTCGATAACGACATCAAGGCTTTAGACAGCAGGAAGAGGCAGATGGAGGAAGACAACCAGGAACTGGAGGAGAAAATGGAGCAGGTGTGACTGACGCATTTCACAGGAACATGGTGTAGAGCAACTATTCCATTCTCATCCATGGAGAACACCTTTTTAAGTGTGCTTGTGAGCCCAACACCTGCTAACAAAGAACCAATAGTCCATTCTGAGAAGAGCTTAATTAACGTATAGGAAATGCACTATAATCTTTTTATTTTGTATTTAACCTTTATTTAACTAGGCAAGTCAGTTAAGAACAAATTCTTATTTACAATGACGGCCTACCAAAAGGCCTCCTGCGGGGACGGGGGCTGGGATTTAAAAAATGAATATAAATATAGGACCAAACACACATCACAACAAGAGAGACAACACAACACTACATAGAGAGACCTAAGACAACAACATAGCATGGCAGCAACACATGACAACACAGCAAGGTAGCAACCCAACATGAAAACAACATGGCAGCAGCACAACATGGCAGCAGCACAACATGGTAGCAGCACAAGACATGGTACAGACATTATTGAGCACAGACAACAGCACAAAGGGCAAGAAGGTAGAGACAACAATACATCACGCTATTAGATAACGAATCGGACTCTGCAGTTTTAATTTACAGATGACAAGTCGGTACAGTACAGATCTTTATTCAGACAAATATATTGTCACACATTTTTGGAACTCTTTCCCTTTCATGCATCTTTCCATCATCCTTAATGGCTGTGTCCCTGTCATGTCCGAGACCTGTTCCAGACCATCTGTGCGGCCTGTGTAACTGAAGCCCTGTTGTGTGCATGCCTGGCCGGACTCAGGTGTTCCAGGGCTCAGATGAGCAGCTGCAGGAGATGTACCAAAATCACCAGACGACAGTGAAGGAGAAGGAGAGGAGGTTCACAGAGTGCCAGAGGGAGATGGATCGAGCCGTGAGAGAGTGCCAGAGACTCAACCGCCTCAAGTCCGACCTTCTAGTAGAACAAGGTGTGACATTGGAGTGACTATACTATATAACCATGAAGAGTTCTATGATGGTAGCATTTAAGTCATTTTATATTTCAGCTTGTCAGTGTTGATGATTTGCTTAATCGGTGCACTAGACCAGGGGTCTCCAACCTTTTCTAGTATGAGAACTACTTACAATAGTTTTTTTCTATCGCGAGCTACTCGTTTTTTTTATAGCTTTCAAATTGGCACATTATTCTCCTTTCCTTTACCCTGCAACTCTTTCCCGGGTGCTTGGTGTACAATAGATGTATTTTCTGTCAATATACCTGGTCAAATAACTATAAGGTGGCCCCGTTGTATGTTTTACTGGTTTAGCATTTTTTTCTGTTTTATTCTCAATATTACAATTATTCATAGAGAAACAACAAAAATGGAAGTTGGAAGAGTCCATTTCAATGCTTAAAGAAAAATTCCACCCTAAAATGCATCATACTGGCTGTATTTTGAAAGTTATACATCTGGAGAACTTGATTGCTGACATGCAAAACATTTTTAATTGAGAAGGTTTTTTGGGAAAGTCTGTACCACCCAAAAGACGGTGATCATCGCTAACTGGAGATATATACAGTGGGGATAACAATTATTTGATACACTGACGATTTTGCAGGTTTTCCTACTTAAAAAGCATGTAGAGGTCTGTAATTTTTATCATAGGTACACTTCAACTGTGAGAGACAGAATCTAAAACAAAAATCCAGAAAATCACATTGTATAATTTTTAAGTAATTAATTTGCATTTTATTGCATGACATAAGTATTTGATCACCTACCAACCAGTAAGAATTCCGGCTCTCACAGACCTGTTCGTTTTTCTTTAAGAAGCCCACCTGTTCTCCACTCATTACCTGTATTAACTGCACCTGTCCACACACTCAATCAAACAGACCCCAACCTCTCCACAATGGCCAAGACCAGAGAGCTGTGTAAGGACATCAGGGATAAAATTGTAGACCTGCACAAGGCTGGGATGGGCTACAGAACAATAGGCAAACAGCTGGGTGAGAAGGCAACAACTGTTGGTTCAATTATTAGAAAATGGAAGAAGTTCAAGATGACGGTCAATCACCCTCGGTCTGGGGCTCCATGCAAGATCTCACCTCGTGGGGCATCAATGATCATGAGGAAGGTGAGGGATCAGCCTAGAACTACATGGCAGGATCTGGTCAATGACCTGAAGAGAGCTGGGACCACAGTCTCAAAGAAAACCATTAGTAACACACTACGCCGTCATGGATTAAAATCCTGCAGCGCAAGCAAGGTCCCCCTGCTCAAGCCAGCACATGTCCAGGCCCGTCTGAAGTTTGCCAATGACCATCTGGATGATCCAGAGGAGGAATGGGAGAAGGTCATGTGGTCTGATGAAACAAAAATAGAGCTTTTTGGTCTAAACTCCACTCGCCGTGTTTGGAGGAAGAAGAAGGATGAGTACAACCCCAAGAACACCATCCCAACTGTGAAGCATGGAGGTGGAAACATCATTCTTTGGGGATGCTTTTCTGCAAAGGGGACAGGACGACTGCACCATATTGAGGGGAGGATGGATGGGGCCATGTATCGTAAGATCTTGGCCAACAACCTCCTTCCCTCAGTAAGAGCATTGAAGAAGGGTCGTGGCTGGGTCTTCCAGCATGACAACGACCCGAAACACACAGCCAGGGCAACTAAGGAGTGGCTCCGTAAGAAGCATCTCAAGGTCCTGGAGTGGCCTAGCCAGTCTCCAGACCTGAACCCAATAGAACATCTTTGGAGGGAGCTGAAAGTCCGTATTGCCCAGTGACAGCCCCGAAACCTGAAGGATCTGGAGAAGGTCTGTATGGAGGAGTGGGCCAAATTCCCTGCTGCAGTGTATGCAAACCTGGTCAAGACCTACAGGAAACGTATGATCTCTGTAATTGCAAACAGGTTTCTGTACCAACTATTAAGTTCTGCTTTTCTGATGTATCAAATACTTATGTCATGCAATAAAATGCAAATTAATTACTTAAAAATCATACAATGTGATTTTTATATCACACATACATACATGGAGTGATAGACAACCGTGCGTGCACCAAACAGACAAACTGGGGCAATATTGCTGGAAATTAATTGGCAGATATTGTTACATTTGTATTTTTAAGCCAATGGTGGCTAACCAGGGATGGAATAATGTCAGTGTGGCTTTGATTGGATAGTACATTTTACATGACATTTTAGTCATTTAGCAGACATTCTTATCCAGAGCAACTACTACAGTAGTGACAGCATACATTTTCATGCTGGTCCCCCTTGGGAATCGAACCCACAACCCTGTTGTTGCAAGTGCCATGCTCTACCAAATGAGCCACACGGGACTACAGTAGCCAGGAGCTTTATGTTTATCACAGTTTGCATTGGACACATAAAAAAAATGCATGTACTTTCAGAATGAATTGGCGAGCCACACATAGGTGGGCTGCTAGCTACTGGTAGCTCACAATCTACCTGTTGGAAACCCCTGCACTAAACCAGGGTGTCCCGAACTCTGTCCTTGGGCCCCCCGGGTGCACGTTTTGGTTTATGCCCTAGCGCTACAAAGCTGATTCGAATAACCGACTCATCAAGCTTTGATTATTTAAATTAGCTGTGTTAACCAATTAACCAATCTTGGTCTACACACACAACCAATAAACGTAATAGATCATGTTGAATATCGTTAGTGGTGCTACTCTGATATTGATCATGTTGCGTTTTTCTCCTCCATTAAGGTCGTCTCCAGCTGGAGGCTGATCGCCATGCTCAGAACATGAAGAACCGTGACTCCCAGGTGAGAGCCCTGGCAGCCTACCTGGAGATGGAGGGCTACGACCGGTCCCCCTTCAATGACAGACAGCTGCAGAGCTTCAACCGCCAGGTCAAAGAGAGACTCGACCAGGAGACGGAGGCCGCCAACCAGGTCATGGTAAGAGAATGTCCCGTCTACACAAAGTTTGGAAAGATACAGCTCTGTTCCATTGGTCATGTTTCGATTATGTTTTTGACGGTCAGGAAAACTGACCCTAAACTGACTCCTGGCCCTATTCATGTTTAATAACTATGTTCTTCCAAGCCATTCATTCATCCATATTCCAAACTGTGTTCCAGAGGGATATACAAGAGAAGGAGGCCATGAAGCAGCAGAGCATCGATGAGATCCGAGACAAGAAGACTGGTCTGGAGAGGACCATGGAGCTGAAGAAAGGCCTGCAGAGCAAGAAGCAGCAGGAGCTGAGGAACGTCAAGTCTGACCTGCAGAGACTGGAAGGCTCCTCCACCCTGCTGCAGGAACTGGAGACAGAGCTCACCAAAGCAGTAGGAGCACAACAGATGTCTACACCCTATTCCCTTGATAGTGCACTATTTTTGACCAGGGCCCATATCGTAGTAGTGAACTCTTCCAAACGTACTGCACTATAGAGGGAATAGGGTGCCATCTGGGACATAGCCAATGTCATCTTTTTTTAAATCAATGTTTTTTTATGAGGATGCGTGTATGCTCTAGAAAAGGAGAAAAAAGGTATTTCTCTGTGAATGTGTTTAGATAAAGTTACTGACTGTTTATTAGATGTGGTTTACTTCTGGGTTTAAATGATGGTGTCCCCATAGATTGTTTTCTTAGGCGACCAAAGGAACATCCAGAGTAGTCCTGCCTCTAAGTAGTAGTTGGGGAAACTGTAGTGCGTGATATACCTGTGTGTGTCTGCAGGAGCGTGAGCTGGACAGCGCGGTGCAGAGCTCCAATGTGGACGGGCTGAAGGCCGAGGTGCTGGAGCTCCAGAAGGACAAAGCTGAGCTGGACCGCACACAGCGCCGGCTGGACCAGGAAATGGAGATCCTCAACACACACACCACCGCACGCACACAGATGGACATGCTCAAGAAGGATAAGGTAGTGTCCGCTCAGAACAAGAATAAAAGATGCCAGCAAATGCTAAATTCCATTATACAGCTTAAAAGATTGTCAATCTACACAATTGAGATGTGAGAAATGTAGTGAGCCCTGTGCAGGTGTGCATTTAGTTTTCTTTCGGTATACATACAACTACCTGAGTATACAAGATGTACTCTTCATTGTTTAGTTTGTGGCCCAAACCTGACCCATGACAAGGAACAAGAGGTCACTCACCCTGGCCAGTGGTAACGTGAGCCTGTGGGCCTCTTTCCTTCCCTCTTTCCCTCCCTCAGACAGATAAAGAAGATCAGGTGAGGAAGATCAAGTCGAGGCACAATGAGGATCTGGTGTCCCTGCTGGGTCACTTCCCTAAGAAGAGGGAGCTGGAGGACTGGATCTACACCAAATCCAAAGAGATCAACTCCACCAGGGAGAAACTGGCCAAGCTCAAGTGAGTGCTTCTGTCACACATGGCCAAATGAATACAGTATCTGCTCTGTCTGGTCGTGTTGATGCAGTAAGAAGGTGCTGAAGTGTGTATGTGACTCTCTAATGTGCTTGCAGTAAGGAGCTGGCGTCGGGGGAGCAGAATAAGAGCCATTGCGCAGCAGAGATCAGGAGGAAGGAGCAGCAGCTGGCCAGCTATGAGGAGAAGATGTTCAACGTGTGTGGCAGTCAGGATTTCCAGCAGGACCTGGGCAAGCTGCAGGACGACCTGGAGAAGACCTCCAAGCAGAGAGGTAACTAACAGGCCCACAAGTTGAATGAGGTTTAATTTCTACCTGAGGTATTGTAGCCTTTTGTGATTTAAATGTATCCCCTTACTCTTAAACTGTGAGGTGTTTGTTGCCGGCCATGGGGATATAGGTGTATATATTTTTTGATCTGTTTTGAATAACGTCGGAGATATTATGAACCTTATCTGTGTGCCTGTGTGTGCTCAGCCATGCTGGCGGGTGCCACAGCCGTGTACACTCAGTTCATCAGTCAGCTGACAGAGGAGGGCGAGCCCTGCTGCCCCGTGTGCCAGCGCATCTTCCCCTCGGAGGCCGAGCTCCAGGACGTCATCAACGACATGCAGTCCAAGCTGCGCCTGGTCCCTGACAAGCTGAAGAACACAGAGCAGGACCTGAAGAGGAAGGAGAGGAGGAAGGACGACATGATGGCTCTCAAACCTGTCAGGTCAGAATGGATCGGGGGAGTACTTACTGCTTGTGCATTTTCATTGGAGAGGATAGGCGTGGATTAGGTTGCAATTGTAGTTTTCTTCCACTAGATGGTAGTGGATGCCCGTACAAAGGGGAGGCACACATCTTGATCAGGCAGCCGCTGCACATAACCTGTGAGAGGGGATCATGTTCTGGTACTTCATAATAGATGGATTTGAAAGTAAAAACCATATGATATGTCATTTGTATGGCTTGCTGCTGTTTGACTGGGGCAGAAAAAATATCACTCAAAACTGTTGTAAATGTCCTGCTCCACTGCTCATTTTATTTTTTTGTTATTTTACCTTTATTTAACTAGGCAAGTCAGTTAAGAACAAATTCTTATTTACAATGACGGCCTACACCGGCCAAACCCGGACGACACTGGGCTAATTGTGCGCCGCCCTATGGGACTCCCAATCACAGCCGGTTGTGATACAGCCTGGAATCGAACCAGGGGGTCTGTAGTGACGCCTCAAGCACTGAGATGCAGTGCCTTAGACCGCTGCGCCACTCATGGCCCATTATCTTAACCCTTTCTCCACCTAAGCCATATGCTACTCTCATCTCAGTTGATCCACATGAGTAGCTAACCCAGGCCCTGTTCTGTGCTGTGGGAACCACCAGGCAGTCTATTGCTGAGCTGCAGGAGAAGGAGCTTCCTGAGCTCAGGAACCGGCTGCAGAACGTGAACCGGGACATTGAGAGGCTGAAGGGGGATGTGGAAGAGCAGGAGACACTGCTGTCCACTCTGATGTCAGAGGAGAACACAGCCAAGGCCTGCCTGCAGGACATCTCCCTCATGGACAGATACCAGGTCAGACCACATAACAATTAACATAACACGGCCTGTGTGGTCTTCATTCTAAATGTGAAAGTCACTAAATAGAGATGTCAATCTTTCAATGTTTCTCTCTGTGTTTCTTTTAGGGATGGGCTAGGTTATTCGAAAATTCAAACGGTCGTAGTATTCGATTACTTGCGAGAGTATTAATTCTTTAGAAGAAAAATGATATACAGTGCATTCGGAAAGTATTCAGACCCCTTGACTTTTTCCACATTTTGTTAAGTTACAGCCTTATTCTAAAATGGATTAAATAAAACAATGTCCTCATCAATCTACATAATGACAAAGCGAAAACATGTTTGCTAAGTTATTTATATATATATATAACTATTAGTTATTCAGACCCTTTGCTATGACACTTGAAATTGAGCTCAGGTGCATCCTGTTTGCATTGATCATCCTTGATGTTTCTACAACTTGATTGGAGTCCACCTGTGGTAAATTCAATTGATTGGACATGATTTGGAAAGGCACACATCTGTGTGTATATATAAGGTCCCACAGTTGACAGTGCATGTCAGAGCAAAAACCAAGCCATAAGGTCGAAGGAATTGTCCGTAAAGCTCAGAGACAGGATTGTCGAGGCACAGATCTGGGGAAGGGTACCAAAACATTTCTGCCACCTTGAAGGTCCCCAAGAACACAGTGGCCTCCATTCTTAAATGGAAGAAGTTTGGAACCACCAAGACTCTTCCTAGAGCTGGCCGCCACGGCCAAACTGAGCAATCGGGGGAGAAGGACCTTGGTCAGGGAGGTGACCAAGAACCCGATGGTCACTCTGACAGAGCTCCAGAGTTCCTCTGTGGAGCTTGGAGAGCCTTCCAGAAGGACAACCATCTCTGCAGCACTCCACTGATCAGGCCTTTATGGTAGAGTGGCCAGACGGAAGCCACTCCTCAGTAAAAGGCACATGACAGCCCACTTGGAGTTTGCCAAAAGGCACCTAAAGGACTCTGAAACTATGAGAAACAAGATTCTCTGGTCTAATGAAACCAAGATTGAAGTCTTTGGCCTGAATGCCAAGCGTCACGTCTGGAGGAAACCTGGCACCATCCATACGGTGAATTATGGTGGTGGCAGTATCATGCTGTGGCCAATGTTTTTCAGCTGCAGGGACTGGGAAACTGGTCAGGATCGAGGGAACGATAAACGGAGCAAAGTACAGAGAGATTCTTGATGAAAACCTGCTCAGGACCTCAGACTGGGGCGACGGTTCACCTTCCAACAGGACAGGTGTGCCAAGCTTGTAGCGTCATACCCAATAAAACCCGAGGCTGTAATCACTGCCAAAGGTGCTTCAACAAAGGAACTGAGTAAAGGGTCTGAATACTTATGTAAATGTGGTATTTCAGTTGGGGTTTTTTTGCAAAAAATTCTAACAACCTGTTTTTGCTCTGTCATTATAGGGTTGTTTGTGTAGATTGATGAGGGGAAAAAACGATTTAATACATTTTAGGCTGTAACGTAACAATGTGGAAGAAGTCAGGGGGTCTGAATACTTTCCGAATGCACTTTTTGTTTTTGGGGGGGGCGACCTGACCAAATACACATTGACAGATCTATAACTCATATTTCTTTCTCATTGAAAGCAAGTCTAAGAAGCGGTAGATCTCTTTCTATGTGCAGTATTTCTATGCTTCCCGTTAAGTTTCATTTTTTGCGTCTTTTACTTTCGGTTTTGTACACCAGTTCCAAATAGCTTAAAATAGAATGTTATTGAAAATATATTTCACCACGGTTTAGATGGTACAATGCTTCTCTACACAACACTGAGTGTACAAAACATTAGGAACACCTGCTCTTTCCATGACAGACTGACCAGGTGAAGGCTATGATTACCTATTGATGTCACTTGTTAAATCCACTTCAATCAGTGTAGATGAAGGGGAGGAGACCGGTTAAAGAAGAATGTTTGAGTCATGGATTGTGTATGTGTGCCATTCAGAGGGTGAATGGACAAGACAAAATATTTAAGTGCCTTTGAACAGGGTATTACATTTACATTTTAGTCATTTAGCAGACGCTCTTATCCAGAGCGACTTACAGGAGCAATTAGGGTTAAGTGCCTTGCTCAAGGGCACATCGACAGATTTTTCACCTAGTCGGCTCGGGGATTAGAACCAGCGACCTTTCGGTTACTGGCACAACGCTCTTACCCACTAAGCTACCTGCCGCCCCCATGGTAGGGTATGGTAGTAGGTGTCATGCTCACCAGTGTGAGTGTGTCAAGAACTGCAACGCTGCTGGGTTTTTCACACTCAACAGTGTCCCTTGTGTATCAATAATGGTCCACCACCCAAAGGACATCCAGCCAATTTGACACAACTGTGGGCCGGCATCCCTGTGGAAGGCTTTCGACATGTTGTATTCCATGCCCCGACAAATTGAGGCTGTTCTGAGGGCCAAAGGGGGTGCAACTCAATGTTAGGATATATATTACTTTTCTACACTCAGTGCTTTTTTTTGTCACATTAACTGAAATTAGGAAAACTATTAGAATTTTAGCAACCAGGAAATGGCAGACATTTCTGCATATTAGTGCTGTGCGATTTAACCGACATTTCAGTTTTTTTCTTTGTAGTTATTAAATAACTAATTGACCAAGGTTGGTTCAATTACTTGGAATTCCATTTATAATGGTTTAGTTTTTTTGTGAAATCATTCACGAGATAAGTCAACTCAAGAACTATGTGGGACGCTGGGCTGAACGGAGTTGTAGTTTTCATTAAGCAAATATTAAACTTAGTTCAGAGCAGAAACGTGGTAATTGACTGCAATGACCGTAATCCGTTGCACATGTTTTTTTCCAGCTCAGGCAGAGATGGATACACTTTTACGCCTGCTACGTTAGGTTAGATACACACGGACAGCATAGACCGCATGAAAGAGGAATGTACGCAACAATTAGAGTGAGGGATAGAGACAGTTGGTGAAAGTATGCCTTGTCTTCTTTGAAGAACTAGTAAAAGCATTTCGTCAGACAGCTCTGAAGCTAGCCTAGCGAAATAAGATGACTGAAGACAGAACACTGGGGAGTACAGAGAGAACGTTGTCTGGCTGCTACTGCCTGAGCAGAGATGAGATGATGACTTTAAGGCATTAAACATAATAAGTAATATACACAACTGAAATATTTTATTTCATAGTAATTTCCTATTTTTCCTATTGATGTCTACCCATGTGGACCTGACGGAGACAATGGAATATTTTTAATGTTTTGGCAATTGGCCCCTAGGGCTGGGGGATATGACCAAAATATAATATTACAGTATATGTCAAATATTTGCCTATATTTTATGTTTTTGAACAATAAAAGTTATAAGTTTGCTTATAACACACATTCTAAGTGATTTCAATGGGTCTCTCTCCATTCTGATTGTTTTATACTGTTCAATTACACTTCAACCAAAAATAATTTTCTGCATTTTCATCAATTTCTGCATTTCCTGCACTCATTTGAGATCATTTCCACACTGCCACGGAGGGCTGAACGATATGGGCAAAAAATCTAGGCCTTATTTTTAACCAAATGTTGCAATTGCAATTTGACTTGTGATTTAGATCAAAACACTTGGGTGAACTGTTGGAATCATGGAAAAATTATGATTATTCTAACTCTATAGTTAGAAGATAACAGTGGTCCAGCCTCCCGAGTGGCGCAGCGGTCTAAGGCACTGCATCGCAGTGCTAGAGGCGTCACTACAGACCCGGGTTCGATCCCAGGCTGTGTCGCAGCCGGCCGCGACCGGGAGACCCATGAGGCGGCGCACAATTGGCCCAGCATCGTCCGGGTTAGGGGAGGGTTTGGCCGGCTGGGATGTCCTTGTCCCATCGTGCTCTAGCGACTCCTTGTGGCGGGCCGGGCGCATGCACGCTGATTTTGGTCGCCAAGTGTACAGTGTTTCCTCCGACACATTAGTGCGGCTAGCTTCCAGGTTAAGCGAGCTGTGTGTCAAGAAGCAGTGCGGCTTGGCAGGGTCATGTTTCAGAGGACGCATGGCTCTCGACCTTCGCCTCCGTACGGGAGTTGCAGCGATGGGACAAGACTGTAACTACCTATTGGATATCACGATAAAAAATATTTAAAAAAGATCACAGTGGGCACGAATGAATACGAATGAAAATGCCAGGGAGGAGTCATTGTGACAGGGTAGGAACCAAAGTGTTGGTCAGTGTTTCCTAGGTGACCCTATAATCTTTGGCTACATTAAAAAAAAGACAATTCTTAGCTACTTCATGTAGCTAACGTATTCAGGCTTCGCCTATTCCTCTTTGGTCTTGATACTGTTGCACAAACAACATGCTGATTTAGGCCTACACCATCATTGGTATCAGGCTGTATAGCTAGCTACGTTTAGTCTGACTCAGTACATTTATTAGTTTGCTAGCGGCTAACATGACTTAGCCACAACTTGCTAAGAAAAGACAAACTAGCTGTTAGCTGTTACTAATAGTGTAATTATATAACACTTGTGGATTTCTATTAAGAAGCAAAGTGGAAACCGCATTGTTGTCACCAACATTGTTGCATGTGACGCATTGACCATGCAGACTGAAGGCAAGCGTCTGTGCATCAATACCGGTATATAGTAAAATTCGGTATACTGCCCAGCCCTAATTGAATGTTCACTATTTTGGGCTTTGGAATTTCCATTAAAAAGCTCTAAAATAATTGTCATTATTTCATAATGCATTTCATGTAAAACAAGAATTTAAACCGAAATCAAAAACCATGATTATTTTTTAAATCATATAACTGAAACCGAACCGACCTAGAAAAGCACTAATCGCAAAGCACTACTGCATATTGCACCTTTAACAATGAAAAGGCTTTGTATAAAATAAAATGATCTATGTGACATTGCTACATAGCCTACAGGGATAGACCATTACATTTGTCATTTTTATAAAAGAACGGTTTTATGACAGTTTGTATGAGTGCTCCCCATTTTAAAAAATAAATAAAAAACTGCTAACTTAGTTGGCTACAGTAGCTAGCTTCTTTACATCAATTTGATGCAGTCAGGACAGGCACTACCAGATGGTATGATACATAACCTATGTCAGCAACAACTTTGTGTTTGGCTACTTTATCTCCGTCTGTCTCCTTCCATGCAGTACACAGACTGTCTCACACACCGGCCCCTGCTCCTCTCCCGCCGCTCCCCCACCCTTCTGCTGAAACAAGCAGAGCACAGCGCACCAGCTCTCTCCCGAGTCGCGCAAGAAAGTCCCCATTTGAAGTACAAAATAAAAATAAACGTTCAAATGTATTTCGACTATCCAGATATCTGAAAAAAAATACTATTACTCAAATAGTGAAATAATTTCAAATGGCCATCCCATAGTTTCTTTCTATGCTTCTCTCTTTCCCCTCCTTCCTGTTGTGGTAACCTCCTCTGCCTGTGTGTGTCCTTGGTCTCCAGCTGGACCTGAAGGATGTGGAGAGGAAGATAGCCCAGCATGCTGCCAAGCTGCAGGGAGTGGACCTGAGCCGCACCATCCAGCAGGTCAACCAGGAGAAACAGGAGACCCAGCACCGCCTGGACACAAGTACGACCTGCCAAATTCCTTATATTAAGCAAACCAGATGGCACCATTTCCTTGTTTTTGTTTTTATTTACCGATTGCCAGGGGCACACTCCAACACTCAGACATAATTTACAAATTAAGCATGTGTGTTTAGTGAGTCCGCCAGATCTGAGGCAGTAGGGATGACCAGGGATGTTCTCTTGAGAAGTGTGTGAATTGGACCATTTTGCTGTCCTGCTAAGCATTAAAAATGCAACAAGTGCTTTTGGGTGTCAGGGAAAATGTATGGAGTAAAAAGTACATGATTTTCTTTAGGATTGTAGTGAAGTAAAAGTGTAAGTTGTCAAATATAAATAGTAATGTACAGATACCCCAAAAAACTACTTAAGTAGTACTTTAAAGTATTTTTACTTAGATATTTTACACCACTGGACGTTGGTTGCTCCCACGGGAGACCCGGGTTCATATCCCGTGTGTTACATAGGTATATCATAATATCTATTCCACTGCACTTATACTGTATTACTATGAATTCCAATGTTATTTGATTCATTGCAGCGTCCAGCAAGATTGAGCTGAAGCGTAAGCTGATCCAGGACCAGCAGGACCAGATCCAGAGCCTGAAGAGCAGCGTGAACGAGACCCGGGTGAAGAAGCTGCAGATCTCCAGTAACATGCAGAAGCAGCAGCAGCTGGAGGAGCAGTGTGTGGAGTTCACCACTGAGATCCAGGCTCTGCACAGAGAGATCAGGGTAAAACTCCACTCAGCTCAGAGCAGTGACCTGACTGAGGAAACTATCTGGAATCATACTAAAACCTCAGTGTTTGGTAGAACTGGTTATAACATGTTTTCTTCTTCTGTAGTGGCTCTGAAGTTTTGTAGTCTTAGTATTAAGAGATGGTCATGGTGGATAGCTTTATCAGTGTATCAATGTTGTCTCCTCCCTGTGTTGTGTTCAGGAAGCTAAGGAGCAGGTGTCCCCTCTGGCCAGCACCCTGGAGAAGCTGCAGCAGGAGAGGCTGGATTTGATGGAGCGCAGGAAGCAGAGGCAGGAGGAGGGACAAGAGAAGGTACCACCATCACCCCTCCCTTCTTTCTTTTTTTATTATTTAAGTGTCCAACCTTTCTTGCTAATTCTGTCAGTGCTAATGGAGGACTGCATATTAAGTCTGAAAACAGTGTTCCTCCAGTCACTGGAGGACTTTGTCTATCGCCTACTAACCTTGTCTCATAAGCCTGGTACATCAACCATTCAAAGTGACCATAGTGAATAAAGTATTTGTCATTTAATTGGAGTGAGATCAAACAGCTGCGAGGTATGCCTCTGTGCTTGTGGTGTGCTCGCGTAATGGGGAGAGTTGGTTGGTAGATTAAGCCAGTGCTGATGCGGCAGGAGTTTTTCCCCGGTCTTTCTCTATTGGCTAACAAAGTTTGACGTGTTGGTCCACTAGAATCTTGGCACCTTTGTGCGGAAGTGTCTGGGAACAAGATTAACTGCATACCATGTCTCAATCATGCCAGTATCATTATTTATTTTAATGCAGCACTTCTAACCACCTGTTCATTCCCTCCATCCCAGATAAATGGCATCAAAGACAAAGTTAAAAGCATGGCCGACGTTGAAAGGGACATTACCAAATACACAGAAGAGGGCAAGGATGAATACAAAGAGGTAAACATGGATTCTGTTTGTTTCTCAACCCCTCATAAGCATTATCTCAATCTCTTGACGCATTTGTCATGTGGTGTTTCTATTGAAGCAAAAAGAGGGGGAGCTCCAAGAGGCCAAAACTCAGGTCCACGAGGCAGAGAAGCAACGGGAGAAGATTAACAAAGACAGTGGAAACATCAGGCAGGACATAGACACTCAGAAGGTGAGCTCAGATGGCATATCTCTTTCCCCTAATTACGTCTTTGTCTCTCCTTTTGCTCCCCCATCCAGGAAGTTACCAGTGTGCTGTGATGATGGAACAATAAACTATTGGTCATGTTTGTAAATGTTGAAATCTGTGAAGCTTGAGGTCTGGGTGACAGTGTGACATGTGATCCGTATCTGTCATTATCATTGAAGGTCCAAGAGCGTTGGCTGCAGGACAACCTGACGTTGAGGAAGCGCATCGAGGAGCTGAAGGACGTTACCAAGAAACGAGAGGCTCTGATGAAGGATATGGGGAACATGCAAGTCCTGCAGCTACACAAGTAAGACCGCCTCCTCGTCCATGCTCACCTGCACCTGGGAGTGGTCCCAAAACACACATATGCTTCTGCTGCTAATCAGTGCCTCCCAGCTTCCATAACCAGATTCCATGTTAGTGGTGTCAGTTCATAGGACCTACTCCCTCTTGGTGGAGATGAAACCCTTGTAGGACTCCTGTTACGAAGTGACCCATCTGAAATACCTCAGAATATACCCTAGGCCTACACATCAGGCTGTAAGTGTGCCCTCTTCCCTGGCTACTAGTGAGCATCGGGAGTCAGAGAGTTGGTGGTGTCAGCTCATAGAACCTTTTAACACAGAATCTCTTTGGAGACACCATCCCTTTTATCACTGTAACATGAAATCTGTGTGTAGTATGTCTCTGTGTCCTCTGTCCCTCTCCCCTGGTTGTCAGTGAGCGCAGGGAGTCTGAGCAGCGCGTGGACGACCTGAAGAAGAACCGCAGTGTGGCACTGGGCCGACAGAAGGGCTTCGAGGAGGAGATCATCCGCTTCCGCAAGGAGCTCCGCGAGGACCAGTACGGCAAGGCCGACGAACGCTTCCGGGACAAGATGATCGTCATGAGGACCACGGAGCTGGCCAACAAGGACCTGGACATTTACTACAAGGCCCTGGACCAGTGAGTTGTTGACAGGGTGGGTAGGGGGGAGGAGGGTGGTGCGGTGGTGATGGTGATGGGTCTGTTTCCATTAAGACTCATGGTTGTAGAGGCAGTCGTGTGAGTTTGACTTACAGGATGTGCAACCATACCAGTTCCTCAACAACACAAAGGATAAGCCATTTAGTCTGATCATATACATCATAATTGAGTAGACCTATAGTCTAAACTAATATGACCATATAATTTAGTTATTTTCTCATCTGTAATATTTGTCAGGTCATCTGGCAACACTTGGTGCCAACACTTAAAATCGGATAAAGGAAAAGAAAGGGGAACTACTGTGCATAATGCTGCTGTTATCAATAGTTTAGGTATTGATGCCTGGATGTGACACTCATCTGGACTCACTAGTCATACATATGTGGGCGATTTATCCTACCGCAGACTTTCCAGATGGTTTGCTGATGTGAAGTGAGTCATTACATGAAACTGATTCTCTGTCCTCCCCTTCAAGACAATACGTGAGTTGACAAGTTTTCACTCTTGGTTTGTGAAACTGCAACTATACATACCAACAGGTGATTAGGCTACATACATATCTGCACAATGACAGTAATACAGTGCATTCGGAAAGTATTCAGACCCCTTGACTTTTTCCACATTTTGTTAGGTTACAGCCTTATTCTAAAATGGATTAAATAGTTTTTTCCGCCTCATCAATCTACACACAATACCCCATAATGACAAAGCAAAAACAGGTTTTTAGACATTTTTGCACATTTATATATGAAGAATGATATCACATTTACATAAGTATTCAGACCCTTTACTCAGTACTTTGTTGAAGCACCTTTGGCAGCGATTACAGCCTCGAGTCTTCTTGGGTATGACACTACAAGCTTGGCACACCTGTATTTGGGGAGTTTCTCCCATTATTCTCTGCAGATCCTCTCAAGCTCTGTCAGGTTGGATGGGGAGCGTCGCTGCACAGCTATTTTCAGGTCTCTCCAGAGATGTTCAATTGGGTTCAAGTCAGGGCTGTGGCTGGGCCACTCAAGTACATTCAGAGCTACTCCTGCATTGTCTTAGCTGTGTGCTTGGGGTTGTTGTCCTGTTGTAAGGTGAACCTTCGCCCCAGTCTGAGGTCCTGAGCGCTCTGGAGCAGGTTTTCATCAAGGATCTGTGTACTTTCTTCATTCATCTTTACCTCGATCCTGACTAGTCTCCCAGTCCCTGCCGCTGAAAAACATCCCCACAGCATGATGCTGCCACCACCATGCTTCACCATATGGTTGGTGCCAGGTTTCCTCCAGACATGGCGCTTGGCATTCAGGCCAAAGAGTTCAATCTTGGTTTCATCAGACCAGAGAATCTTGTTTCTCATAGTCTGCGAGTCCTTTAGGTGCCTTTTGGCAAACTCCAAGCGGGCTATCATGTGCCTTTTACTGAGTAGTGGCTTCCGTCTGGCCACTCTACCATAAAGGCCTGATTGGTGGAGTGCTGCAGAGATGGTTGTCCTTCTGGAAGATTATCCCATCTCCACAGAGGAACTCTGGAGCTCTGTCAGAGTGACCATCGGGTTCTTGGTCACCTCCCTGACCCAAGTCCCTTCTCCCCCGATTGCTCAGTTTGGCTGGGTGGCCAGCTCTAGGAAGAGTCTTGGTGGTTCCAAACTTCTTCCATTTAAGAATGATGGAGGCCACTGTGTTCTTAGGGACCTTCAATGCTGCATAATTTTTTTGGTACCCTTTCCCAGATCTGTGCCTCGACACAATCCTGTCTCTGAGCTCTACGGACAATTCCTTCAACCTCATGGCTTGGTTTTTGCTCTGACGTGCACTGACAACTGTGGGACCTTATATAGACAGATGTGTGCCTTTCCAAAGCATGTCCTATCAATTGAATTTACCACAGTTGGACTCTAATCAAGTTGTAGAAACATCTCAAGGATGATCATTGGAAACAGGATGCAGCTGAGCTCAATTTCGAGTCTCATAGAAAAGGGTCTGAATACTTATGTAAATACATTTCTGTTTTTTATTTTTAATACATTTGCAAAAATGTCTAAACCTGTTTTTGCTTTTGTCATTATGGAGTATTGTGTGTAGATTGATGAGGATTATTTCATTTTTTTGAATACGACTGTAACGTAACAAAATGTGGAAAAAGGGAAGGGCTCTGAATACTTTCCAAATGCACTGTACACGTGCTGTGTATATGTTAAAGCTGTATTGCCCTGTCGATGGCAGACAGTATGATTAGCCTGCATAAAGGCAGGTCTTGGGAGGAAGTGACAGCTCAACTCTCTCAATGAGATATCATCTGTGTTGGCTTAGTGGCATCAGCAGGCAGGCCAGCAGCATAGCGGTGGTAGGGATAATCAGCTCTCTGGTTGTTATCATGTATCCAATGCAGAGCATAGAGCCCATGCAATCAGTGTGAGTCAACCCTGTGAGTTTGCATTTGGTTGGAAGTGAAGGAATGGCATTGTCTTTTGTCCAAGATACCATAAAAAAAATATATATATACTATTGAAAATATTAATGTGTGGAGTGTGTCCCATTGTCATGGTTGATTTATTGATCTATTTTGAAAATAATAAATAAGAAGGGGGAAAAAAAGTATATAAAAATAAATACATCGTAAAGCATATTGTTCATTGCAGAAGTCATTGACTCACCTTAGTGAGCCGTTTGTTTGTTTGGCCAATTGAACATGAGAAGTAACAGATTTATATGAAGGAGCTCCTGTCCCCTTATGTTACCTAACCCACGCCCAATGAGCTTCTCATGGTGATGGTAATCACTGCCTTCTAAGAAACGAATTTATAACTTACAGATATGATCACATCCTGTAGATAATTTAGTAAGCAGAATAATATATTGTATTTTTGGCCATACCAAATGTCGAAGGGAATTCAAGAGAAACCGCAAAGCCTGGTCATCTTTTTTATTTGCACCCACCTAGAGCTTGGTGATACAGACAATAATCCATATCATGATAAATTAAATAAACGATAAGTTTTTAACATTAATATGCACAACAGATACCCTTATCTACTACTACTTTGACATTTTTAGCTTTAAATGTCCTGTTAGCAGTCACCCATATTGGCTTGACTTATTTCATTTCAAACTTCAAATTGTTCTAGTATAGGCTACTCATTTGTAAATAACTGTCAGTGAAATGTCCTCGATAAGTGGTCGGTGTCTATGATTTACAGTTCATAGTACCAGCTCTACACCCACCCAATCTTAACATCTTTATCCCTCTCAATCTTTATTTGAACTTTGTTTTCTATCACCTACTGTTAGGCCTATGCCTAATCCTGTTGAAAAGCATCAATGCCAACGTCATCTTAAAAACTGTGGGTTTTGCCCATTTTCAGTTGTACCCAATGTCCTCTTCTACAGAACCATAATGAAGTTTCACAGTATGAAGATGGAGGAGATCAACAAAATTATCCGGGACCTCTGGCGCAGCACATACCGAGGACAAGGTCTCTGAGCTAGTATTATTTTGAGTGATTTGTTTTTTAATTGCACAACTGAAAGCATGTGCCTGCCTGGAGTATCATTTTGTAATGTTATAAATTCTATAAAATGATCAAATGTATCCTCAACCCCCATCCATCTTGTATCGCTTCAGCAGCATGTAGCAGTATGCTGTGTAACAGGACTGCCCAATACCAGTTCTAACTAACCTGATTCAGTTTGTCAACCAACTCGTTTTTAGAATCAGGTGTGCTAGATTAGGAGTGTGAACCTAAAGAGCGGTAGCTCTCCAGGAACAGGGTTGGGCAACCCTGCTGCGTAATGACCACGCTTTGTGTCTGTGTTGTCACCCCATACTGGATCAATTAGTCATGCGATTATCCATTAAGTCTAAATGTTCTTCCTCCCTTGCTATCCTCCAGACATTGAGTATGTGGAGATCCGTTCTGATGTGGATGAGAATTCTTCAGGGGCGGGAGTGAAGAGGAGGACCTATAATTACCGTGTGGTGATGGTGAAGGGAGACACAGCACTGGACATGAGGGGTCGCTGCAGTGCCGGCCAGAAGGTGCGGTATTGGATGCTTCACCTACTTCCTGTAGCTCAAACTGATTGAGCTCACAGGTAGCTCATCACATCAGACAGCTATAATCTGGCATAATCGTGAGAGGGCATGGAGGGCATTACCCCCTTATGGATATAGGTGTGGCAGTGTGTTGGTAAATGTGATGATGACGTGTTGGTGTGCATGTACGTATAGGTCCTGGCCTCCCTCATCATCCGTCTGGCTCTGGCTGAGACCTTCTGTCTGAACTGTGGCATCCTGGCCCTGGACGAGCCCACCACCAACCTAGACAGGGAGAACATTGAGTCCCTCGCACACGCCCTCGTGGAGTGAGTACATTTGTCCAATAGCCTGCTTCATCTGAATGGCAACATTTCCCTCGTTTGGTCACCTTGGAGCAAACTTATGCACTCCAAGGAAAGGTCAACTACAGTGAGCTCCAAAAGTATTGGGACAGTGACACATTTGTTGTTTTGGCTCTGTACTCCAGCACTTTGGATTTGAAATGATACAATGACTGAGGTTACAGTGTGGACTGTCAGCTTTAATTTGAGGGTATTTTCATTCATATCAGGTGAACGGTTTAGAAATTACAGCACTTTTTGTACATAGTCCCCCCATTTTAGGGGACCAAAAGTATTAGGACAAATTCACTTGTGTATTAAAGTAGTCAAAAGTTTAGTATTTGGACCTATATTCCTAGCACACAATGATTACATCAAGCTTGTGACTCTACAAACTTGTTGGATGCATTTGCTGTTTGTGTTTCAGATTATTTTGTACCCAATAGAAATAAATGGTTTTATTCACTGTTCATTCAGGATTATCTGTAATCATGGTAGAAACATCTTATTTACAATAAAAGTGACTCCAAAATGACACAATACATTATTTACCCTGAATTTCTATTGAGCACAAAATAATCTGAAACGCAACCAAATCAAACAGCAAATGCATCCAAGCTTGATGTAGTCATTGTGTGCTATGAATATGGGACCAAATACTTAACTTTTGACTACTTTAATACACATGTAAGTGAGTTTGTCCCAATACTTTTCGTCCCCTAAAATGGGGGGACTATGTACAAAAAGTGCTGTAATTTCTAAATGGTTTACCAAATAAGGATGAAAATGTTGTCTCCTGAGTGGCGCAGTGGTCTAAGGCACCGCATCGCAGTGCTAACTGTGCCACTAGAGATCCTGGTTCGAATCCAGGCTCTGTCGCAGCCGGCCGTGACCGGGAGACTCATGGGCGGCGCACAATTGGCCCAGCGTCGTCCAGGGTAGGGGAGGGAATGGCCGGCAGGGATGTAGCTCAGTTGATAGAGCATGGCGTTTGCAACGCCAGGGTTGTGGGTTCGTTTCCCACGGGGGGCCAGTATAAAAAATAAATAATAATAATATGTATTCACTAACTGTAAGTCGCTCTGGATAAGAGCGTCTGCTAAATGACTTAAATGTAAATGAAAATACCATCAAATTAAAGCTGACAGTCTGCACTTTAACCTCATAGTCATTGTATCATTTCAAAACAACAAAAAATGTGTCACTGTCCCAATACTTTTGGACCTCACTGTATCTTTATGTACAAACATTTTGGGATTCTTTCAAAATTCCAGATTTCAGCTGCATAGTTGTAGGACACGCACATTAATTATAGTTGTCATCTAATTTTGCTGAGCCAAGTCCTTTGCAATCTGGAAACTGTCATCACCCCACCAATTGTTTATCATCTTCATCTACCGCTGTCCCAAACCTAACCCAAAGTGTCAAACTGAACTATCTGATCCAAACCTAACCCAGAGTTTCTAACTGAACTATCTGATCCAAACCTAACCCAGAGTTTCTAACTGAACTATCTGATCCAAACCTAACCCAGAGTTTCTAACTGAACTATCTGATCCAAACCTAACCCAGAGTTTCTAACTGAACTATCTGATCCAAACCTAACCCAGAGTTTCTAACTGAACTATCTGATCCAAACCTAACCCAGAGTTTCTAACTGAACTATCTGATCCAAACCTAACCCAGAGTTTCTAACTGAACTATCTGATCCAAACCTAACCCAGAGTTTCTAACTGAACTATCTGATCCAAACCTAACCCAGAGTTTCTAACTGAACTATCTGATCCAAACCTAACCCAGAGTTTCTAAAGAGACTCTGGCAATGACAGTTTTGCCACTGAATTCCTTGGTCTGCTTGACTCCCTTGGATTTACCCAGCTTGTTGACCATTGACAACCTGACTGGTTCAGACATTGAGCTCTCTGACCACAAAGTAATATCTATGGATTTAAAGCCCCCCCCCCCCCCCCCCCCCCCCCCCCCCCTGCAGTTAGTGTACTATGTCTTTTCACAATCTCAAATCTCTCAACCCCAGTCTCATCTTTGGGGCTCTAGAAGCTCTATCAGCCCTTATACCCAGCCCACTGGAAGATACAGTATCTCGGTATGACGACTCTTGCTACACCTCTCAATGACTTGGCCCCCCTAAAGACCAGAGTAGTTTCATTCTAGCGCTCGGCCCCCTCGTACACTGATGAACTGCGCTCCATGAAAATGGCTGGGCGGCACCTTGAGCGGCAATCCAGGAAGTCTGGGCTATCTATCCATGCCCAAATGTATGACCACAGCAGAGTACAAAACCCCAGATTCCAGCTGCATAGTTCAATATAGGACACGCACATGAATTATAGTCGTGTCATCTAATATTTTGGGTTGGAAACCATCCAGTGTTCAGCTCATTTACCTGAACACAGGCGATCATAAAAATGTTCATCCACCCCAGTATTAATACGTTTGAAGGCAAGTACATGTTAGTTCAGCAGATTTTTATTTAGGATGGTTACTGCTGAGAGGATGAAGGATTTCTTTAGGCTGTTTTTGCTTGCACCTTTACTCTTCTACCTGACGGCAGAATTTTGAAGGATTCGTGCAGTGGGTGGGTGTTGTCATTGAAGAAAAGTACGTTTTAAAAGTATAGGAATACTATTTGTACAATATCTTGACACTACTTTTCTCTGCTCAGAATCATCAAGAGCCGCTCGCGCCAGCGCAACTTCCAGCTGCTCATCATCACCCACGACGAGGACTTTGTGGAGCTCCTGGGGCGCTCCAACTACGTGGAACACTTCTACCGTATCAGGAAGAACATGGACCAGTGCTCTGAGATCACCAAGTGCAGCGTCTCCTCCCTCACCTCCTACCTGCACTGAGTTATCATAGGCATATTACACTAGAAATTTAATGAAAACAATTGATAAATGCCGACCTGAAAAATATGTGTGCGGCCTATCCAAGAATTTCCTGTTTGCAGAACAAAAACGTGCACTACAGTACTGTATTCCAGTTAGCGTTGGGATCTGTGCCTAAAGCAGACCACAGTAGTTTCTGTTCACTTCAGTTGTTTTAGCAGGGATTTCTGTTCTTTGAAAGGATGCAATTAATTCAGTTAGTTGGCAGATTAGACCTGGAGGCCCCGTTGTTGGTTACCACTTTTATCCGGTTTTCGGCGAAACGCCTCTGTCTTGGTGACGCTTGCTAATCAACCACATCTCAATCAAGATATTCATAATGTGTCTCATACAGTTGACTGCATTAGCTGACGCTGCAATAAAATGTATGAAAAAAAAATAATCCTTGGTCTTGTGTATAAATAATCGGTGTTCACTGAGTAGTCCTCACATTTGGCTTAAAATTATTACCTGCTGGCACCTCAACTTCTCTGACGTACAAGGACTTATTTAGTACTACTTAGCTTTGGCAAATCAACCCAACCAAAGATGAAGACGGTGATCCTTCTCCTCTCTGTTGCGATGGTGCTGCTTGACTCTAGAGCTCTGCCTGCCAATGCTGCAGCGATCCAGCAACGTAGCAATCACGTTTACAACTTAGAGAAAATTATTAAAATGGCGGGACAATACACACAGACACTGCCAGAGGTAAGAGCAGATCAAAGAGCCACACTGTTCTTATATTCTATAGGATTCCTCAGCCTTATTGTTTTTTCATTTTAAAAGTGTGCAACAAACCTCTCACAACTGTTTTTCCCTTTACTCCAGGATATTCTGCAGACATTCGTGACAGATGTTACACATTTGACTGAGACCACAACAAAATGCAAGGTGATGTGATTTAAATGTTTTGCCCCCTTAGACATTTGGTGTTAAAAATATAATATGTGCAATAATTGAATAATATTTACAGTTTATGTGAAAAATGAAGATATGTTTATGAATGGTGCTTGAATATGTGGAAACTTTATTTAACGAAACAAATGTTATTTTACAGGAGTTTTTCTGCGAAGCTGAGACAATCTTGGCCTCTGTGAAAAAGGACAAGTTTGAGGGGGGAGAGATTGTCCGACTACTGAGGGTTTACAACAATCATGTAAGTTACTAAAGTGTTCTATTAATGAAGCAGCTCATTGACCTGCAGCGGTTTCTCCCTCTTAAGAAGACGTGACCAAATGAAGGACAGAAGCACATGCGCTGGGTGAGGGAGTTTCTTTGGTGTTGACGTCTGATGATGCTTGCTTATTACAGAAAAACTGCAAAGTTGTGGAGAAGAGCCAAGGCAACCAGGTGGAGCTGAGGAGACTTCTCCACGACCTAAAAGGATGTGGCCAGAAAATCAACTCCAAACCATAAGATCTACACCAACTCAACACAATGCTTATTTATTATTTGTTTACAGTTTTATTTAAGTTAAAGTGTCGTTAAATTACTTTACCAAGGGCAGTATTTTAATTACATTATGTAACAGGAATCTTTTTTTCTTTTTTTTACCTGAGCTGCATATTTATGAACACCTGTTAACAATGTGCAAAATTTGATATTACAATAAAGATTTTTCAGGACTAAAGTTTAAAGTCTTGTTTTTAACTTCAACATTTTCCAGAATTGTTTCCAGGATTTCCATGAATTGTCAATGGACAGGTTAGACTGGTCATTCATTCCCACTGAAATGGTAGAGCTGGTGTGAAACAGTAGCTGAAATGTAAATGGAAAACTATTCGTTACTAAACTTACTAACATCTCACTAACATCTCCCGAGTGGCGCAGCGGTCTAAGGCACTGCATCTCAGTGCTTGAGGCGTCACTACAGACCCCCTGGTTCGATTCCAGGCTGTATCACAACCGGCCGTGATTGGGAGTCCCATAGGGCGGTGCACAATTGGCCCAGCGTCATCCATGTTTGGCCGGTGTAGGCCGTCATTGTAAATAAGAATTTGTTCTTAATTGACTTGCCTAGTTAAAAAAAGGTTAAATAAATAAATTAAATTAAATATACTCCCAACTGTATTCTCATGGCCCTTGAAATCACTATTTGTGTTTGCTAGCCATGATTTGATGTGAGATGCTCTGCATCTATCTGTGGTGGGACATACTGTAAATGCTGGGGCAGAAGAGCTTTTGAAGTGAACGTGCCCCTTGTTCCCTGGACAATGATCACTCAGTGACTTGATGCAAAGTGAGCTCTGAAGGGAGGGAGGCCATACAGTAGCGGCAGCCGGAGCTTCACTATGCAGCCATTCATTGCTGTATGTGCTACCTCATTACAACACTGAACAAAAATATAAACGCCACATGTAAAGTGTTGGTCCCATGTTTCATGAGCTGAAATAAAAGATCCCAGAAATGTTCCATACGCTGAAATAGCTTATTTCTCACAAGTTATGTGCACACATTTATTTACATCCCTGTTGGTGAGCATTTCTTCTTTGCCAAGATAATCCCTCCACCTGACGTGTGGCATATTAAGAAGCTGATTAAACCGCATGATCATTACACAGGTGCACCTTGTGCTGGAGACATAAAATGCCACTAAAATGTGCAGTTTTGTCACAACACAATGCCACAGATGTCTCAAGTTTTGAGGGAGTCATGCTGACTGCAGAAATGTCCACCAGAGCTGTTGCCAGAGAATTGAATGTTCATTTCTCTACCATAAACTGCCTCCAACGTCATTTAGAGAATTTGGCATTATGTCCAACCGGCCTCACAACCGCAGACTGCGTGTATGGCGTTGTGTATGCGAGTGGTTTGCTGATGTCAACGTTGTGAACAAAGTGCCCCATGGTTATGGTATGGGCATGCATAAGTTACGGACAATGAACACAATTGCATTTTATCAACGGCAATTTGAATGCACAGAGATACCGTGACGAGATCCTGAGGCCCATTGTCGTGCCATTCATCCGCCGCCATCACCTCATGTTTCAGCATGATCTGTACACAATTCCTGGAAGTTGAAAATGTCACCCATTTAGCATGTTTGGGATGCTCTGGATCGACGTGTACGTCAGCGTGTTCCAGTTCCCGCCAATATCCAGCAACTTCGCCCAGCCATTTAAGAGGAGTGGGACAACATTCCACAGGACACAATCAACAGCCTGATCAACTATGCGAAGGATATGTGTCGTGCTGCATGAGGCAAATGGTGGTCACACTAGATACTGACTGGTTTTCTGATCCAAGCCCTTACCTTTTTTTAAAGGTATTTGTGACCAACCGATGCACATCTGTATTCCCAGTCATGTGAAATCCATAGATTAGGGCCTAATGGATTTATTTAAATTGACTGATTTCCTCAAATGAACTGTAACTCAGTCAAATCGTTGAAATTGTTACATGTTGCGTTTATATTTTTGTTCAGTATAAATATAACCAACAGCTCCCTCCCTTTGTCGTCAGCGCCACTTTTTATAGTGCAACACTGCAGCCTGCTGGTGGAGCTTCTTCTCACTGACCTATCAACTCATTGAGGCAGAGAGAATATGACTCTATTCGTGGAGACGCTGAATTATTCAGCTTTGCTTAATATTTAATAATTTCTTAAAGGTAAACATGGGTGAGCTAGATTTAAGAAATATTCTGGAGTGTTGCGCGTCCTTGCCCGCCATAAATGTGTATATCTCAAGGAAACCTCTTTGGGTTAGCTGCAGAGGTCACACTTTATTTTGATAGTCCGGATAGTCCATCTGTAGATGCTCTACAGATGGCCATAATATCAACAAACTGTCGGTTGATAAGCAACTGCTTGCTAGGGTTAGGTTTAGAGTAAGCGTTAGGGTTAGTAGATAGTTGAAATGTTACTGATGGTCTGTGGAGCAGTGTTCCCCAACTGGCGGCCCATAGGCCGAATTTCACCGGCAGGTGATTTTATTTGGCCCCCCCAATTTTTCTGAACAAAAATACAAAGATTATTTTAAAATATACACTACCGGTCAAAAGTTTTAGAACACCTACTCATTCAAGGGTTTTTCTTTATTTTTACTATTTTCTACATTGTAGAATAATAGTGAAGACATCAGAAATATGAAATAACACGTATGGAATCATGTAGTAACCAAAAAAGTATTAAACAAATTATTCAAATAGACACCCTTTGCCTTGATGACAGCTTTGCACACTCTTGGCATTCTCTAAACCAGCTTCACCTGGAATGCTTTTCCAACAGTCTTGAAGGAGTTCCCACATATGCTGAGCACTTGTTTGCTGCTTTTCCTTCACTCTGCGGTCCGACTCATCCCAAACCATCTCAAATTGGTTGAGGTCGGGGGGTTGTGGAGGCCAGGTCATCTGATGCAGCACTCCATCACTCTCCTTCTTGGTAAAATAACCCTTACACAGCCTGGAGGTGTGTTGGGTCATTGTCCTGTTGGAAAAACAAATGATAGTCCCACTAAGCCCAAACCAGATGGGATGGCGTATCGCTGCAGAATGCTGTGGTAGCCATGCTGGTTAAGTGTGCCTTGAATTCTAAATAAATCACACAGTGTCACCAGCAAAGCACCCCCACACCATAACACCACCTCCTCCATGCTTTACGGTGGGAAATACACATGCAGAGATCATCTGTTCACCCACACCGCGTCTCACAAAGACACGGCGGTTGGAACCAAAAATCTAAAGTTTGGACTCCAGACCAAAGGACACATTTCCACCGGTCTAATGTCCATAGGTCGTGTTTCTTGGCCCAAGCAAATCTCTTCTTATTGGTGACCTTTAGTAGTGGTTTCTTTGCAGCAATTCAACCATGAAAGCCTGATTCACACAGTCCCCTCTGAAAAGTTGATGTTGAGATGTCTGTTACTTGAACTCTGTAAAGCATTTATTTGGGCTGCAATGTCTGAGGCTGGTAACTCTAATGAACTTATCCTCTGCAGCAGAGGTAACTCTGGGTCTTCCATTCCTGTGGCGGTCCTCATGAGAGCCAGTTTCATCATAGCGCTTGATGGGTTTTGCGACTGCACTTGAAGAAACTTTCAAAGTTCTTGACATTTTCCTTATTGACTGACCTTCATTTCTTAAAGTAATGATGGTCTGTTTCTCTTTGCTTATTTGAGCTGTTCTTGCCATAATATGGACTTGGTCTTTTACCAAATAGGCCTATGTTCTGTATACCCCCCCTACCTTGTCACAACACAACTGATTGGCTCAAACGCATTATGAAGGAAAGAAATTCCACAAATTAACTTTGAAAGAAGGCACGCCTGTTAATTGAAATGCATTCCAGGTGACTTCCTCATGAAGCTGGTTGAGAGAATGCCAAGAGTGTGCAAAGCTGTCATCAAGGCAAAGGGTGGCTATTTGAAGAATCTCAAATATAAAATATAT